CTAGATATTTTTGGGCTTAACGATAAGTCTGCTACACCCTGTGTACAGGGTGTCTCGTAGTCAGACGCTCTTGTCTCTGCAACACTCGGCCTTTTTTTTATTATTTTTTTGTATTTGGTTCACATTCACGGCTTTGTTCAACTTTTATTCATTATTTATGCTCCACAAAGCTGCCTGAATGCCCTTTCTGTGCAAAGTAGAGTTTGTTGTTGTCGTTGTCGTTGTTGTTGTTGTCGCCCACTCTTGAGTTGTTGTTGTTGTTCGGTTCGAGTCTGGCCCTTGCCCTTCGCTTGGCTTTGCTTTGCTGTGAGGGCAAAAAAAGCTTATCAGAATAGCATTAGGCGGGGTTTTCGGGCCATGTGTTTGTTTGTTTTTTATGCCCTAGCCTGGTCCAGGGGATAATCACTTGTTGAGAGCGGCCTGTGCTCAGCTCTACGCTGGTCTACTTTTGATTCCTTGTAGGGGGATTTAGTTGCGTCCCAGTCAATATGCTGGTTTTATGAGGTGGAAAAAGCAGGGAAGTGGAATTGAAAGCACAAGAGTAAACAGCAGAAATGTGTGTTAAAGGAATTTGCTACTTATTTAATGTTGACTTTTTGATTTACAGAACTTTATGCTTAAAGTGGAAATGTTTTTGGCTTAAATTAAGTAAGGGTTTAAAAAATATTATTCTTAAGCCATGAAATCTTTTATAGCATTTAAAAGGATGCCAACTCTTTCTCGCAGAGAGATTTCTGTATGTTTATTATAAGCTAACTTTGGTATCGATCTCGGCATTGCAAACGTATATTAACCCATTGGCAGCTTTAACTAGTTGGGAATTATAAGCGTCTAGCAAAGAAAACTAAGCAAAGCGAGAAAACTAGAGTACTTTTTCTGTGTATAGGCATTTACTATTCCTCGCCCTCTCTCTTTAACTTTAACATCATTTTTTTATAGACATTATACAATGTAATTTGTAAGGGTATTTAATATTCGTTGCACGGCTTATCCTTTTTTTCTTGCCCTTTGTTGGCTTTGTTTTTGTTGCCTTTATTTTTTTTGTTGCCAGCTGTGCTCTTGGAGAATTTATGCAAATTGACTGTTTGTCTGTTGCCCGAAGGAACTCTCTGGCTCTCTCGCTCTCTCTCTCTCTCTCCCTCCCTCTCTCTCTCTCTCTCTCCCGCTTTCTTCCTGACCAGCAAATGAGCATTTAATGGGAGACACGCTTTAAGCATTTGCACATAATTTTCTTGTGAACTAAATTGCGCCGGGCTGACAATTCGCAAATAAATGATATTACATTTTCTTTTCCCATTTTTTTTTTTTTGGGGGGGGTCTGTGGCCAATAACCGCCGGAATTGTGAGCAATAAATTTGCAGGGCAAACAATGGGCTGGATACGCTGCGCTGCGGCATGCCTCGCGTGCCCCAAATAAATAAAAAAAAAAAAAAAATAGATAAAATTGCCCTTAATATTTACAACATATTTAGTTAAACGAAATGGTTTGTGTCCCCCTCCCACTTTTAGCTGAGATGGACGAGCTCATCGAGCAGCTGAAAACGACAAGCGTCAGCCTGGACGACAATACGACGACGACGCTGCTCTGCGAGATTTCGGCCACAAAGGATCCCAAATTGTTTGACAAGCACGAGCTGGCCGATTGCTTTTTGCGTTTGACACAGTGCGAGGACACGGCCGTGCGCAAGGAGGCGGCCAAATGCATTGCCGAAATAACCAAATCGGAGGTGCAGCGCAAAAAGTTCACCAAACGCGACATAATCGCTGCCTTCCTCGAGTGCCTGCGGCATGTGCCCGCCGCGGACGGCAGCATGGAGCTGCCCATACAGATATGCCGAGCGCTGGGCAACATTTGCTATCTGAACGATGAGGCGCGCGATCTCATTTTGGAGCTGCAGGGCGATGCGGTGCTATTGCGCCTGCTCGACATAGCCGAGATCGAGGATGTGGCCAATGCGCCGCAGTTCATCAAGGTGCGCGGCGGGCTGCTCTCCAATTATCTGTTGGGCGGCGAGGGTCTGGCCAAGCGCGCCATGGAGCTGGGCATTATGCAGCAGCTGCAGCGCATTGTGGACACCGGCGCCGCAAATGTCGAACAGCACGAGGATCTGCTGCTCAATACGTTGCCGCTGCTCAGCATACTCACCGAGAATGTGGCCGATCTGAACTTTGATTTCCAGTTGAATATCAAGCTGTCGCGCATTTTGGCCGCCTCCACGAACCCGGATCTGGCCGAAATGTGCCTCGAGCTGTTGCACTATCAGGCGGAAAGCGACGAGGTCAAGCTGCTGCTGGCCAAGGATGGCCTCTGCGAGACCATCTACAATCTTCTCGAGAAATACAAGACCCTGGCCAGCACCAGCGAGGCGCGTGCGCTCATGAAACTCGCCTGCGAACTGATTGTGCTCATCCTGACGGGCGGTAAGTGCTTGACGTAGTCTACTTCTACTCTCTCTTATACTTGCTCTCTCTGTCCTCTGCCAGATGAATCCATGCACTATTTGTACACCACGCCGCTGCTGAAGAACATGGTCGACTGGCTGGACTCGACGGATATTGATTTGTTGACCACGGGCGTCTTGGCCCTGGGCAATTTTGCGCGTACCGACAGCCATTGCATTTACTTTGTGGAGCAGCAGACCATGAAGAAGCTGCTCCAGGTGCTGGCCAAAAACAATGGCGTCAAGGACGATGTGCGCCTGCAGCACGCACTGCTCAGTGCACTGCGCAACCTGGTCATACCCAAGCCGAACAAGAATGCGGTCATTCAGGCGGGTCTGGTGCAGACCATATTGCCCATGCTGGAAATCCATCAGCCGCCGGTGGTGTTCAAGCTGCTCGGCACGCTGCGTATGACCGTAGATGGTCAGGGTGAGTCCAACATAGTTGCAGCCTACCTAAACAGCTTCGCTTTACACTTGACTTGCGCGCATTTACAGAGAAACTGGCTTTGGAGCTGCTGAAGAACAAGACGCTGATCGAGCAGCTGGTGCACTGGAGCAAATCGTCCGATTATGCGGGCGTCACTGGCGAATCGCTGCGTCTGATGGCCTGGCTGATTAAGCACGCGTATCTCAATAAGATCGCCTATGCGCTGCCCCGCAAAGGTGATGCGCCGGCCGAACAGATTGCGGACAAAATACCCTTGGCCCATGACTACGATCGCAGCAGTCTCAGTGAATTTCTGGCCAATGAGGGCACCGTCGAGGCCATGGTCAGCATGCTGACGGCCCAGCATCTTGTCATGCAGAACGAGGCACTGATTGCCCTATGCATACTCTCTGTGGTCTATCTATCGAAGCCCACCGAGGCGGAGCAGGCGCAACGTTTGCAGGCTGAGCTCATCAAGTGCAATGTGGGCGCCAAGCTGGCGGAGCTCATTAGCAAATCATCGGATAGCATGACCAAGGAGATTGTCGAGAATCTGGAGAATTGCATCAATCTGTTGAAGACAGCCGATAAGCTGGTCGCACATCTCGAGCAGCACAACATCAACGAACTGCTCAAATCCATACCGATTCTAACCGAATACTGCACCTTGTAAGGATTACGAAGCGCGGGAACAGAGGCACATTTGCATTTATACGAGAAATCTACCCTCGCTGTCCAAGCACCGCCAGTTGCCTATTTCAGCCCCAACACACACACACACACACAGACAGACAGACAGACACTCCACAAGTCGCCAATAGTTTTGTTGGCCCCATATGTAGTTTCCACCTTAGAGCAACGATTCAGATCTTAGACTTGATTATATATGTAGAGTTTCATCAACCTGAAACAGAACAGACGTTGAACAGAACAGATGATACGGGAATGTATTTTTTAGACGCAAGCGTATTTTTACTGCATTTACCACATAAAACATATAATTAATTAATTATACATATATATACACATAATATATATATATATACGTATGTATTAAATAAGGCATATAAAAACATTTCTGTTACATGATTTTTAAGAGCACAATAACAACAAAACGAGGTGATATCGCTAAATATATTAAATAAATGTATTTTACGTATTGTACTTATAATTTGTATTTGAACCTTTTACAAAAAAACATTTGTTGGCACACACCAAAAACAAAAACAAAAACAAAAACAAAAAAACAATTTCAAGCACAATTTTGCATGCAATTTGTATTAAGCATTTTAATTGTTGCACTTTTCGAAATTTATTATTAATATTATTACTGTAAAACTCACCGAAATTCTCTCACACACACACACATACACACAGTTGAAATTAACATTTTTTAAACAATTTATATGTAATACAGCAAGCAAAACACAACAACAACAAAATTGTAACCTAATAACAATCAGCGAAAATAGCTTAAACTCGAATGAAATATGCAAATTTTACAAAGCGTAGAGCTAGAGTATATATATATATATTAAAATTATAACATTTTAACAATAATTATTGTACTCAATTTGTGGTCACCAAACAACAACAAGAAGAACAACAACAACAACCAGAAAATTTCTTAAACCTAACACGTAAGGCAAATTTAAGCACAATTTAAGAAAATATTTATATAAAGCGTTGAAACACACACAAATATTTATAAATTCGAAACACAATAATGTACATTTAAATAGTTCAAATACAATTTGAAATGCATGAGAAAATAAATGAGAGAGAAAACCAAAGAAAATTTCCAGTAACTGTTGCGGACTTCTTAAAACCATTTGAAACCGTTTTGAGCGGGCTTTTAAGATTCAGTTGATTCAGTTTTGATGTGAGGGCTTTCCTTGAAAAACTCGGTAAGCTGTGGCGTACAAAAACTTGAAGCTATGAATATTTTTGTTTTTTTTTTTAATATTAATTTTAAATACTTACCGATATTTTTCGATTTGGTAGCTCCGTACTACCGGGAAAAACGTAAGCTGAACGCCACAACCTTCCCCGTTTAACGTCAAATTCAATTAATTTGTTTTGGTTATTTTCGCGCTTGCGTAAAACGGTCACACTGATCTCTAATAAAAGTCAGACGCTAACGCTACGGAAACTTTTGTCATTTTATTTTGTTTTATCATGCTGAGAAAGTGTTTTTATTCAAGTGCTTTGCGAGCTCCATTTAAACGCCACTAATATCGCATATTTTGTGCTGCATTAACACTAACAAACAAACAATTGTGATGCGAAAGACCCGCTCGCAAACTCAGGCGGAAAATGCCGCTTCAACCACACCGCAGCAATCAGCACCAACAGCAGTAAACACATTTGATGCGGCTAAATTTAAGGTAACTTTATCTTTCAATGTTTCATTTAATGCACTTAAGCATTCAAAAAACAGTGTATTTTAGTAAGAAAAAAAAAACAATTGATAAGTAAAAACAATGTGACCGCAGGCAAGCCTCATTTTCAGCGCCCCCTGGTGCAACATACGCAAACGCTTGCTGCTAGACAAACGATTACTTTACAACACTATCATCCGCCATATTTCCTCCGACAAAACAAATTTGTGCGATTAAAAAGATAAATGCGGGGGGACTTAAAATAATAAATGTGTTGAATATCAGTAAATGTTTACATTAGTTACAAACCAATACATTAGTAATATAAAAGCGGTAATTGTGATGAAAATCATGGCTATGCCTTCGAACGCCATTTTCGCCCGTGTCGTTCAAGGTAATGTACGATTTGGGACATGCGATTTTGTATCCACTGTGCGGTCTGTGTGTAGCTTTTTTTTTGCAAAGAATAAGAAATGAGGAGCCGGCGTTTATCTAGCGTTTTAATGTTGTAATTGACTGGCCGAAAGGCATATACTTTTTACGCCTATATGTATATGCACATGGAACAAATGTCTTATATACATTTCGGTAGAGCCACACACATTCACGCACACATGCAATACATACCCAAATGCTATTCGATGCGTGCGTGTGTGTGTGTGCGGCGTCGTCGTCGTGCCTTTTAGTCTGTTACTGTTATTTTATAAGCCTTCTCCTCCACCCACAACTTCTGCTTGCAGGAATGTGAGCAAATGGTGCAGATGCTACGCGTCGTAGAGCTGCAAAAAATCTTATCGTTTCTGAACATTTCCTTCGCTGGACGAAAAACCGATCTGCAAAGTCGCATCCTATCGTTCCTGCGTACTAACTTGGAGCTGCTCGCACCCAAGGTACAAGAAGTTTACGCTCAATCCGTGCAAGAACAAAGCGCCACGCTGCAGTACATAGACCCAACCAGGATGTACTCGCACATGCAGCTGCCCACTGTGCAGCCAAATAATGCGAGTCTTGTGGGCGGTGCACCGGCCCAGGTGCCACAAGTGGGCGCCGGCAATCCCGCCCAGATGCCTGTCGGCGCTGGCGGTGCGCCCGGCAATATGATACCCTACCTGCACTCGCACACTATGAACAGCCAAATGCCCATACATCCCGATGTGCGTCTGAAAAAGCTTGCATTCTACGATGTCCTCGGCACACTCATCAAACCATCGACTCTGGTGCCGCGCAATACGCAGCGGGTGCAAGAGGTGCCTTTCTATTTTACGCTGACGCCACAGCAGGCTACAGAGATCGCCACAAATCGCGATATACGCAACAGTTCAAAGGTGGAGCACGCCATACAGGTGCAGCTGCGCTTCTGTCTCGTGGAGACATCGTGCGACCAGGAGGATTGCTTTCCACCCAGTGTCAATGTCAAAGTGAACAACAAATTGTGTCAGCTGCCTGTAAGTATTAACTTCAATTTATTTATCCCCATATTTAAATGTTAATTGACCAACGCTCAATCCAAATCGTGAGATTTACGAAGCTGAACAATTTTTGATTGGAAGAGTGATTCGCACTTTCCACAAGATGGAAAATGGACGTCCAAGGTTGTTTGAAGAACAGTTCAAATTCCGTTCGATCAGCTTTAAAATGTATATCTTAATTTGATAAACACGTTTAATATTATTTATTTTTATTTTAATGAAATTGGCTTTTCCCTTTCACCTTAACCTAATTCTACTTTGCTGCTTTACAGAATGTCATTCCTACAAATCGCCCAAACGTGGAACCAAAACGTCCACCACGGCCGGTGAATGTGACCTCAAATGTCAAACTGTCGCCGACTGTGACAAACACAATAACGGTCCAATGGTGTCCGGACTATACGCGCAGCTACTGCCTCGCCGTCTATTTGGTAAAGAAACTAACATCCGCACAGCTGCTGCACCGCATGAAGACTAAGGGTGTTAAGCCCGCGGATTACACGCGTGCTCTGAGTAGGTTCCACCTAGAGATCTTTAAATTGAACAAAAAATATTAATAATTTGTCTGAATTTCAGTTAAGGAGAAGCTTACCGAAGACGCTGACTGCGAGATAGCTACGACCATGTTGAAGGTGTCGCTTAATTGCCCATTGGGCAAAATGAAAATGTCGCTGCCGTGCCGAGCATCAACATGCTCCCACTTGCAGTGCTTTGATGCCAGTCTCTACCTGCAAATGAACGAGCGCAAGCCCACCTGGAATTGTCCCGTCTGCGACAGACCGGCCATCTACGATCATTTAGTAATCGATGGGTAAGTTTATTTAGTCTATATTTTTGCAACACAATATATTAATGGGATTTTCCTATGCCTGCAGCTATTTTCAAGAGGTATTAGGCTCGTCGCTGCTGAAAAGCGACGACACTGAGATTCAGCTGCATCAGGATGGCTCCTGGAGCACTCCGGGCTTGCGCAGCGAGACCCAGATACTGGACACGCCGTCAAAGCCTGTTTCTAAAGTGGAGGTCATATCGGATGATGTCGGTGCGTAGTAAATGATGATCATTATCTATATGGATTATAATCTTAAAGTACTAACTTTTAAAATTGTTCAATTTGCGCAGAACTGATTGATGACACAAAGCCGATGAAGTCTGATCTGTCTCCAGCGCCCGAGGAGCAGCCAACGTCCACGTCCAACAGTGAAACCGTAAGTGAAACCAACTTTCCAAACTTTCCTCGACAAATCATGATACTTATGTGTTTATCTTGTGCCATAGGTGGATCTAACCTTAAGTGATTCGGATGATGATATGCCGCTGGCCAAGCGGCGACCGCCAGCCAAGCAAGCGGCTGCCACGTCCACATCGAACGGTACGGGCGCCGCCCAACGTGCCTATGCCTCGTCACAGCAGCAGCAGCAGCCGCCGGCAAAAACTGGTACGTTGGATCCATTTTTGTAATAAGATGAAGCAAAGCAACAGGCAACAATCGATTTGTTGAACACACTTTGTATAGCAAAAACAGATTTCAAACAAATATTTATATAACGTTAGGGTAACATGTACACATAAGGCAATATTCACATACACACACACACACACTCACACTCATCATACACACACACGCACACCACATACCAGCCCCTCAAAAGCTCTTCAACTCGAATTTTCAGTTGCCTTTTCAACTTGCTATGAAATTTTACTCTTTCCACTTCTGGTGTTTCCCGCACTTTTCACAAGCTTTACGAAATCTATAACTATAACAGTTAGTTAAGCAATTTTATATGAATCGGAATTAGGTTGAAATTCGAATCTAATCTATTGGGGATATTGTGTCGAGTTCGAGAATTAAATGATATGGTGTATACTCAGCCATTGATCTGTCTCGATCCTGTAAATCTATGGGTATACCAAGTGCTAGTTGACTGAATCTGTCAGACTATGGTCCGTTTTAGACATGGCTACTCAATCCGGCCTAGTGCATGCCAACAATAGGCCTCCGTTTCTCTAGCCACGACTTAAAATATTTGCTGTAACCACAATTTGTACATAATTGTAATTTTCTTATAGATATTTTAAACAAACCCAAGCGTGCGCAAATTTATGTGCGCGTTGGTATTCGCTTAGGTCTACAGTCACGGTAGGTTATATCGTAGTCCCGTTATTCAACATAGAATTCGTTTTATCTATGTGCATATCTTGCAGTAAAGCAGTTAACAAGGCACAGCCGTGACGTCACACAATCTATACAAACTCTCTCTCGATTGTACACTCCGAACACATTTATATATATATGAATGAATTCTATGTTAATTCCAAATGTTTTCGATTATTCGTGTTTTTTTTTTTAATTGTACAAGAGTTTACTGTTCGTCCCCCTGTTTAACTGTATTTACATATATTTGTTTTAATTTTATGCGTTTCCGATTAAATTATATTTATTTATTGTCAGCAAAATACGATTGTACTCTCTTTAAAATATAATTAAGTTTGTTTTTTTTGTTCTCACGTTTTTGCCCAAATCCAAAACTGTGGCCACACAGAAAATAACTGTTTTATATATATACACATATATATATATATAAATATATCAATATATACATTTAAAGTTTTGTAGTAACTTGTGCAACTCTCTCTCTCTCTCTCTGTTTCTATTTTCTCTCTCCTCTCTCACACTCTCTTTATATATATATTTTTAAATATATGTATATTCTATTCTCTTCTCTTCTCTGCATTTTTTTCGACCATCGACTCTACGAAAGATTCCCCCGAGCAGCAAACACAGCAAGCGATGCCGTCGCCTGAAACGCTACAACAACAACTTTTGGTTGGGGATCAGCCAACGGCTGCAATGCATGCCAGTCTATTGGAGTCCCTCGCCGCTGCAGTCGCGGATCAAAAGCATTTTCAACTCTTGGATCTGGCTGCAGTGGCGGCCGCTGCTGCTGCCACGGCGTCTGCCTCAGCGCAGAATCCAAATACAGCTCCATAGACACACACACAAAAACAAACACACACACACATACATACATATATGTAATAATTGTAAACAGTTTCACACACACATACACAAACACAAGATTGTGCTTTTACATGTTTTGCTTTTGTTTTTTGTTTTCGTTGGCTTTGCTATATTTTGTTGCCCACTTTCGCTCGTTTCCTTTGCGCTGGCATTTAATCCCACACACGCACACACATCTATATATATATGTACTATATGCCGAGTATCAGAGGCTATTTAACTGACATTTTCATGCAATAAATTTAATTGAAAACAAAGTTCACATTCATTTAAACGCGGCTGCTTTTTAGAGAGTTAACGGGTGTTAGGCAGAACTTAGCGTAGACTTTAATACAAAGCATTTTTACCGTGTGCTCTTTCTCCTTTAAGCTGGAGACCCTTAAAATCTCACTTCTGGCGGCATTTCTCACCTATTTCTCTCTTGTGCTTATTTTATTCGCTTGATCATTACGATTAATTTCATATCATTATCAGAATGTTTTATATAAATACTTGCAACTCGAAAAGCTTCAAAGGCAAAAACCATATTTTTGTGTCTTGCGGAGCGCTGTTAAAGGTAGTTGAAATCGCCTCAAAAAAGTTGCTGCCTGTTTGTTGCTGTTCCTAACTTTCTATATTCTATTATTTATATTATTTTGATTACCCTTCGTATTCAATTTCTTACAGGCCTCTACACTTAATATTATATTTTTTATCACTTGAGTTTATATATGTTATTCTTCTCCTCTTAATTTATCTGTGTGTTGTGCTTGCCTCGATTAAACACCCAACTACACCCCCACCCACACACACACACACACATAGTAAACACAACAAACTACGTTTTACAACACACGATTAATTAATTTATTTATTGGGTTGTTTTGTTTGGCGTCAACCAACACTTCATAATATGTATTTTTAGTAAAAAAAAAAATACAAAATACACAGATACATATAGAACTATACATTAAACAATAGCGTAATAATAAACATAAATCAAATGTTAATGTTTAAGTCTCTTTACAATTATTCCTAATTCATATAGAAAAGCAAACGGAGTGGAAAGAGAATCGCATCGATTTTAAGTTATATTTCGTGCATAATTTAGCTGCTAAGTTATCAAAAGATTTTCATTTTTTTTATTGGCAATCGGCTCGAGTATTAAATCGTTTGCTTAATAAAAAAAAAAAAGGGGAAACATTCAACAAAACCCAATTTCAGTTTATTTTATAAAATTACGTATATCATATGTATGTATTTATATCGTCTCTTTTTAATTTTTGGAAAAGAATGAAAAAAGTGATGCAAAAACTGGAAAACAAATAAGATATAAAATTCACTCAATAATAAATAAAGCTAAATCTATCGTATATTAAATCGCTTCAACTTTGTAATTATTTATTTAGGCACGCTGGATAACTATTTTAAGGCGGTTCAAAGGTGATTTATAGGACCATATATGTTATATCCATTAAAAATCGCACAATTTGAACGAACACACACACACACACACACACACAAACACTTGTACAAAACGATATTTATGTGTCTGCGAATGACCAAAAGAAATTTTATCGAAATTTTAACCTTTGTAGCCCATAGACATATAAAAACTGAAAAGACACGCGCTAACGATTTTTGTTTGAAACAATAAATCGCATTGAACCATTTATTGCATGTGGGGAATATAAATACACCATGTATAAGTCAAATATAATCTGCAAATTAAAGCTAAACAATATTTTCAAACAATCCATGTGTTTTATTTATTGTCGACAACTGAAATATTATTCCATAGTCTTATTTCTTTCTCTTTAATATTTAATGTATTATCCTTTTGCACATTTTGAGAGCTATTATTTTTTTGTGTTCCGATTTTTAATTGTCTTATATACGAAAATTGTTTTCTATTTTGCAGATGAAGATGAAGCTGACATGGATAAGAAAGAATCTTCTGTCATTGAACTTTCAGACTCGCCGTAAGCGCACATTCAACTGGCGACAAAGCTCCAAAGATTCTTATGCAATCCACTTCAATCTAATTATAAATATATATTATTTGGGCCCAAAAACTTGACATCCGCAAAGCAACTTATGTACTGGAAATCGTTGTTTAAAAACTTTAGTTAAGTGCAAAGTAAATTGAAAATAAACTTAATACATGTTTAAATGTATTACAATTGTGGAGTTCAAAAAGCAAAAAAAAAACGTTCGTTTCCGTTACAAAAATACCGGCTAAACACAGCTGAGCTGTGTTAGCGTTGCCACTCATTTCGATTTTTATTTGCAAGCAGTTGGCAGTCCGTCTTGCAGTGTGACCATTTCAAATTAAAAAACTTGTTTTGTATATTTTTTCGCTGTGTGCAGGCCGTTTGCCTTTGTCATTTAACAAAAAAAAGCTGTGTTTCTTTTAAGTATGTCTCAAAAGCCTATATTATACTACGCACTCTTCAGCCCGCCAGCCAGGGCCTGCATTCTTACAGCCAAATTGATTGGTTTGGATGTGGAGCTCAGGTGAGTGCAAGATCAGCAACATTTCCACACCTTTCACTTGACATTTTTTATTTCTCACAGGGCCGTTGACTTTTCGAAAAAGGAGCATTTGAGCGAGGAGTTCATTAAAGTTTGTACATAATATATAACATACGGGATCTAGATATAGCTAATATATCGTCTGAAATTATTGCTTTTGCAGCTTAATCCGGAGCACCAAGTACCCGTTTTCGTGGACACCGATGGTGAGGTGTATGTGGACAGGTTTGTGTACCCTTTGGCCAATTTACAAAATCGTTTCCAAATCGTTTTTAATCCATAGTTTCTTTTAGTCATGCAATCGTTTGCTTCATGGTTGCCAAATATGGCAAAAACGATCAGCTTTACGCGAAGGATCTGAAGCGTCGCGCTCACATAGATCATCGCCTGTACTACGAGAATGGCGTGCTCTTTCCGGTGATCAAGGACATTGTGGCGCGCAATCTTTACGGTGGCGAATTGGAGTACAATATATGCTCTGTCACAATGTGCCAGAATGCTTACGCTACGCTGGAGCACTTTCTGGAACAGGGCAGCTTTGTTGTGGGCAATGAATTGAGCGTGGCGGATATTTCCATAAACACCACACTGATCACTTTGGATCTGATGATGCCCGTGGATCGGGAGCGTTATCCGAAAATTGCGAATTGGCTGCAGCGCATGCAGCAGCTGTTGCCCGACTACGAGGAGATCAACCTGAAGGGGGCTCAGGCGCTACAGCAGCGCATTGAAAACCGCATGGCCGAGAACAGTTCAGTAAATAAATGATGAATCTTGTTTTTGATTCCAAATTAACAAAAGTTAAGTCAATTACTAATCTTTTCTGTGGACCTCCACGAGTTCAACGCGCCCAAAAAACCCGGGATATGGTTTTTTTGGCCGAATATGGGCAATACAAATGTTAGCCATATTTGCCACGCCCCTGGTGAACAGATAATCAAACCCGATGGTTCCTAGTTAACCCACATATCCTTGGTTTTACTATACCATACATTGATAGAGTCCTGGCGAACTTATAGTTCCAAATCTCGGCAAAATTCGCTTGATAGCTTTACCCACAATTAGGGAAGGGTTTAAAATTTAACGGTCGCAAAATGCCTTTGAACTGGTCCCGGCCGTTGGTTCACATTTTTCAAATCACAATTCAGCTGAAATACCAGGCGAACAGAAATGCCCAGCAGGTAGATGAACAGAATTTTTTTTGCAAAAATGATGACTTGCAAGTTTTCTTAACAGTCCACTGTTAAGCAGCTGTTATTTAACTGTTCGCTGTTAAGTCACTGTTCGTTAACATACATACTGTTAAAAGCTGCTGCCAAGGGGGCGTCTGGTATAAACGGAAATTTGGCAAAAATACCAGGCGAACAGAAACGCCCCGTAGGCAAACGAGTTAAAATTTGTTTGAATGAACAATTTCAGTGCATACCCATAAGGTACGAGGGATCTTGACAGTCAATATACTCTATAAAGCAGGCATGTTAGGCTCACCAGGAATATAGCAATGGTATGGTAAACCCAAGGATCTATGGGTCAACTAGCTACCATTGAGGGGGATGGAGCTGCTGCAGGGGGGCGGCTGAAAGAAGAAGCATTCATATCTATTGACCATTTCAGTCATTTGGGTTCACCAGGACGATATCTTTGGTATGGTAATCACAAGGTCCATAGAATAGATCGGCATCTAAGTTTTTAATTTCACAAAAAAGTCACTTTTAGCAAAAAAAAAACACTGAATTTTTTCTCATTTTGGATCATTTCTTAAAATGCGGATTTTTGGGTGGCAATCGATAGTCGGGATTTGGATTTGGTGATAAACCTCTATACTATACTATCGATTGCCACCGGAAAATCCGCATTCAATTACATTGGCTGTGAGTTTTTCTGTTTATATATATATGTGTATGTATATTTTTTAAATAGAATTTATAATTGATTTGTTAAGCTAAATTGGATTAAATTCTCACTATGCTAATGCTTTGTGTCTTTTTGATTTGGAAGTCAAATGTATTTGTATTTGTTTTGTATCTTTTTGAAATAGTTGCTCGTAAATTTGTTGTTTCTGTTTTTGTTACAAATCTTGATAAGCCGCTATTAGTTAACACAAGCTGGTATTGTTGTTCTCGCACTATAACTAGCATACTAATAATAATATTTAAGGTTTTGTCTGGTAACATATCTTGCCTACGCCTAGCTATATATACAATACGAATCATAACTCTAATCACACTTATTTTGGTATATTTTCCAGCTAACTGTTGTTGGCCGCTTCACTCTAATCAAAGGTCGTCCAGTTGTTCATGCCCTTGCCAGCGCCAGCGCCCGCGGTCAGCGCTGGCTTTGCATTGGAGGCGCCTCCAGCTGTCGCTGTGGCCCCATTCAGCGAGAATTGATCCAATCCGTATTTGCGCAACAGCTCAAAGTCATCATCCGGCGGCTTGACTGTGAGACCCCCGCCGCTGCTTCGTTGGATTTGCGGCGGCGGCGCCACGCGACTCGTAACAGCCGCGACGGTGGCCATGTGCTTGGGCGCAAAGTAGGGATACAGCGGATTGTTGACGCTATTGTTGGCCTGGCTGATCAGGCTGCTGTTGACGCCGACTGGCAGAGTGCTCGACTTGGACTTGTGGTTGCTGTTGAGGTTTCTGCCCAGCGGCGGCAGCGGGCGTGCATTCTGATTTAACGGATCGAAATCCTCCAGATCAAAGCTGGTATTGTTGCTATCGTCCAGCGATATCAGATCGTTCATGCTGTCCTCCGGGCGCGGTTGAGCGTTGCCGCTGCTGTTGCTGCTGCGCGGCGACTGTGTGGGGAGAGTAGGCATAAATGGGATAGGTTAGTTAGGCAAACATCTCTCTAAAAGCTAGACAATCTACACTTGGATTAGTCGACTACAATGGCAGGCAAATGCAAGCGGATTAGTCGCAAGGCTACAGGGTCCATGGTTAGTTAAGAGACGAGGGCTATTGGGGGGAGGGTTTGTGTCAGCTGGATGTATTAGTATGTGAGATGTGGAACCGCAACCAGGATATTTCTTAGTTAACTAGGCAGCGCAGCTTTTTGTTGGTGTACCTCTCTCTTGGCCCGCGGCGTCGGTATTGGTGCCGAATCGGAGCTGAGCGGCGATGAGACATTCAGCTGCGAGAATCTGGAGGCGGCCGTAACAAACGAAGCGGCCGACGAACAGGACGAGCTGGAAGATGACGATGCCGATGTCGATGCCGATGCTGATGACGAGGTATTCGAGCTGCAGCGCAGCGAATCGCTTGACTCATCCTGCCAGCAATTGCGCTCCAGTCGATTGATGCCAGCGCTGACAGCAGCCGCAGTGGCGGCCACCACAGCATTGGCGCTGCACTGACGTCTGGGCGGTATCGGCGGCGATTGCACATCCGGTGGACTATCAAAGCTCGAGTCTGTGCTGGCAACCTGGCGTGGCTTGGTGGGCGTTGACGTGTGCCGCGGCGGCTTCGAGTCAACCAGCGGATGCGTGGAGCTGACGTTGGCGCTGTTGCAGTTCGGCGCATACGGGTGATTGTAGTAGGAGGCGGGCTGTTGCGCTGGCGGCGGTGGGCGTGCCGGCGGTGGGCCGTTGCGTGAGCGCGTGCTGTGATGCTCAGCGTTTGGCTTCAGCTGCGTGGCAGGTGGCGATGGCGGTGGCAGTTGCAAGTTTGTGATGTGTTGGTGTTGGTGCAAGTTGCGAGAAGATGAGACAAACACAAGGCGACAACAAACAGACAGACAGACGGGACGAGGCGAGACGAGACACAACACAAGAAACACATGAAAAAGGCAATGAAAAGAATGAACGTAACATAAACAACAACAACATCGAGAGTTTGCAACAGAAAGCGGCAAGCGACACGACGCTAGAGCAGCTGCAGCCGCCTCTCATATTCACGCACTAGACTACTTACGCTGCGATCAACGGCGGGCATTTTGAAGAGCGGATGATTCTGCAGCTCCTGCGACAGATTCATCTCCGATGAACAGATCGAGCTCGCCGAGCTAACAGCAGGAGACGCACCCACAATATGATCAAAATTAGCATTAAGCGGCGCACCCAACGCATAACCATTTGCCGGTATCTGGCTGCTCGAGCTGGACATGGCCAGCGGCACGGGAGCTCGTCGCTGCTGCTGTTGCTGCCCGGGCAGCTGCAGCATGTGCTGCTCCATCTGGTGGCCATTCAAATTCAACTCGCGCTTGCTGCACACCGGCGAACTGGGCGCTGAGCGATGTGTCACCTTGCGGCCGTATAGCGTACTGCTGCCGTCCGGACGATCCGAGTGTTGCGGCGAGCCCAGCCCGAAATGGAAGTGATTATTGGGATTGTGGTTGTGGCTGCCGTTGTCGCGCCACTTCTTGTAGGCGGTCTTAACGCCACGCGAGCTCTCCTTGACCTGTGAAAAGCAGAATTCAATTATCAACAAACTTTACCTCCGATTTCCAAACATATTCAAAGAGTCAGTTAAAGCTGCCACTCACCGATTTAACAGCAGACTTAACAGCTGGATTAGTCTGCAAGAGTGAGGCGCATTTGGTGATAATACGGTATATAAATGTATAGAGGATCGATCAAGTACCCAGAGAGAACGAGCATTAAGCACAGAAGCACAAACGTGAGTTCCAAGCAGGATACATGAAAGAGAGACACGATCGCGAGACGCAACGCACAAATATTAAATGAGATATATATGAATACCATATATTTAATGTGGATATGGATAGCAGCACAAAACTACAATCAAACTACTATTAAATACTAATTGTTAAGATGGCAATGATGATAAAATGTGGGCGTTAATGCAATGAGGCTTGAAAATGTTGTTTTTGTTTTTAATAACGATTTCAATTTATGGTTAAATGTTGATGGATTAGTAAAGTGTGCATTGAGGGTTTGGATTTGTGTGTGCCCTTAGGTAAAAATTTGGTTTGTTATTTATGTACATAGATAGATTTATATGGCATTTAACGCTTTAAAATCAAGCTACGGCGCACTGTTACTAACATTTGTTTTCTCTGCTAAGCAGCTGTCAGTAACTGTCCGCTCTATTGACAACATTTGTTGCCTCTGCTTAGCAGCTGTTAATAAATAACGCGCGGTAACTAACGTGTTTTGCCTCTGCTAAGCAGCTCTAAGCTTACAGCGCGCTGTTGTTTAAAATATTAACAGCATAGCTTTAACAATTTAACCATTGGACATATATATGTAACGTGCCCGGGATAACACAAACGAAAAATCTCTATAAAAAACATAAAACTACATAAAAAATAAAAGTGTTAAATAACACTATTTCGTTACAAAATCAAAAAAGTGTTTAGTTTTGCCGTAAAACAAGGATTAAAGTGCAATTGTTGGTTAAGAGGGAGAGAGAGTAGAGAGAGGAAAGTAAATCAAGTAAACTAACATTTGTTTTTTGTGAAAAAGGTGTTTTGTGTTTGTGTGTGTGTTTGGAAATTCTACTCGTTTTTTGGGCGTGATGGGCGGTGGCAATCAGTCTAATAAGTCTTGGCAAACACTCGCGAAACATTGCGCTTTCCCAAATTATACTGCGAAATAGATTAAATTAAATTAAAGAAAATATTGTTGAGCATAACGAAAAAAAAAATCAAAAAGTATCTTAAAAATTACAGCACACAAAATTTCAATTGGGAATTGTAGAGGGCTCAATCCTTGTATGCACTCCAAACCAAAGTAAAATAAATAAATACACAATTACACTTAGAACCCAAGAAGAGATGGGGATGGTTGGATGTGAAAAATTGCACTATGAGTAGGAGGGTTAAGGCAATTGAGCTAACATCTATGGAGCTAGGGAAAGGTAGGGGGAAAAGGTGCATCCACTGCGCAGCTCACCTTGTCCTTGACATGCTTGAGGAAGACATAGTTGCGTCCGCGCTTCTTCATCTTCTCCGCATAGCGCACAGTCTCCAGTTCGAATTCATCCGAGAAACCCAGGCCGCTGTTTAGCATTTTGAGTCTGTCGTCAACGAACTGCGCAAAGATTTGCAGCTCCATCATTTTGGTTAGAAATGGACGCAAATGAGCGGGCCGAGATTCAATGAATTTTTCGTGATTGAACGTTTTGCAGGTATCGTGAAACTCAACAGCGTCCCGATAGCCGCCAATCAGTTGCACCAATGCGCCCAGAAATATTTTCGAGACACGATCTCCAATGTGATCCTGTGTGTGACTCAGGTATTTCTTCATCTGCGACACAATCTCTGGCGGCAAGGCGCGCACATCATCAAATGGACTCTCGAACACTTTCGTATCACAGTTTAAGATCACAACTTCGCCGAGCTCATCGGCGGAAACCTGAAACCAAACCGAAAGATTATTTATATGGTAAAATATTAAATATTATTTGCTATTTACAGTTTCAAGCACAGGCTTTGGCACACCAATTAAATATGGCATGGGGGCGCCCAGGTAATCCTTAAACGCCCACGGCAAGATCGGAATAAATATGTGCTGCCAGACCATGGGATATAGGAATGCATTGGCTGCCTGTATGCATGAGGATAGACGATCCAAGTGACTCGATGTGAATATAATGCGACGCTCGGCCAGCATGGCAGCAAATACGCAGATCATCTCCTTGGGATCCACAAAGTTATAATACAGATTTAGATTGTGCTGCAAGGCAAAGATGAAAATAATTGAAAATTCAAGTATTTGAATGAATGAAAATCGTGTTGGAACTCACATTTTCTGGTATGCTAGGCAGCTGAAACTGCAACGGCCGCTCGAAAGTGAAATGCTGCAGGGGAAAATTAATAAATTTATTATTTAATTCATATTTAATTGCAAATATTTGAACATTCAATACTCACGCTTTGGCCGCTGTTATAGAATACCGTTAGACTGCCGCCCGAATCGGGCACGCCTCTGTTGTAGGCCTCCGATAGGAACGTGCGAAACCCATTCCGATCGGTGCGCCTTAACTCCGCCAGCACAATCAACAGCTTGAGGAAGGTATCATGCCACGGCAGATAGGTGATCAGCACCATGGCCGTTTCCGTCTTGGGATCATGTCGACAGAAGCCGAAACGCCACTTGGAATCGCCAGTGGTGTGCACAAATGAATAGGATTGCACGGAGCCCCTGTATAGAGTACAAATATACAAACATATATAAATAGTATAGCTGCCAGTCAATTAAATCCTATCCTATCTTCGGTTGGCCGAAAATTAAATACCCAAACAGGCAGAAAGAACTTTAAGGAACTTAAATATTTGAGTTGGTCCGTTGTGTATAGAAGATATAATTATAGCATGTTTATTATAGCACATCCGCTCGGCAACGCCATAAACCCAATGACCTTGAGCAGCAGCAAGCAACAGTTGTGTTTCTCAAGAAACGCTTCACCGCATGTGTATGTACATATTTTTATGTATTTATGTATGTTTGTTTATTTCTGTATAAAAGTACATCGTTAGAGCGAGACAAAAAATTGTGAACGCACTCGCAGCGGGGCTTTATGAATGACTAATGCCTGCCCGTTGGCGCGGAAAGTTGATGATCAAGTTTGCTTCTTCTTTTGCGTTTGCCTCTTAACCCAAATTAAAAGCATTTGGCAGACGGACCAAACAATCCAAAAATCACAACAAAAAGCAACAACAACAACAAAAAAACCACATTTTATGTGCTGCTGCATTGAGTCTTTAGCATCCAAACATTTAGAATAAATATGAGCATTTGATAAGCGGTGTTTCCTTTTGTTGCCATTTTCTTTGTGTCTTTGTGTGACAATTTGTGCGCGTTGATGATTATGTGTGAATAAATGCAAAATTTACAACAAAAACAGTTATTCGCACTGAGCTCCGTTTTCAATGCGACGTCGCTTGGCCTCCGTTTTTACTTTGCAGCTCTTTCGCATTTCGCGGGCCATTTCGTGAGTTGTCGCTTTATTGTGGGCGTCGGATTACGTAAAGTCGTTAGATGCGCGCATTATTTAATAAAATATGCTAAACAGGCGCAAGCGACAAAATCGCAGCAGCAACAATAAGCAAGGAAGTTGACGTTCGCTCTCGCTCTCACTCCAGCTGTACATGTCGGTGCATTGACTTTACCGATAACTGTTAATTACAATAATGATAGCCAGCAGAAGAGGGAGAGGAGAGCGGGAGAGAGCGCTTGAACAAATCAAAGTCAATGAATTAAGAGAGCGCGCTGGAGGCTGCCTTTGTTGTTATTTCGCTGTGTGTGCCGTAACGGTGCTTGGCGTATGCATGTGCCGTTTTTTTATATTTTTTTATTGGGTGATCTTTGCTTTGGGCCAATATTTATAATTATTATTAGTTTCACTTTGGACGAATTTCAACATCAAATTTCATTAGCCCAACATTTGTTCAAATTCCAAAATTGTGTTTATCAGTGTATTTTGCCATGCGATAACAATTGCAACCAGGGAACGGGTAGAGGGGTGCGGGTAAACTAAAGACAACTTGTTGCCCGGTCTTAAGGCAGCTGCACAGATAAAACCAGAAATGTTTACGGCGTGACTAACCGAAGACAATTGACGTATGTATGTAACCGATACCGAGTGAGGAAATACTTGCTATAATAACAACAAGCGTAAAGTGCGAAAATAAATTGCGTTCAACGTAATCCGAATGAAATAATTCACCATTGCCCCCACAAACTGGCGCGAATATGTAAACAAACACAAAACTATACAACAGGTTATACAATTCATGGACAAACTCGAAGTGGACGCTGCCGCTGCTCATGAGTCATCCGGCAGTGTTGCCAAATCGTGGATTTTTAAAAGGGAGATAACGGCTAAATTTTGAAAACAAACTGCCAGCGGGAATTCTCTTTGCTGTTAATTAAATTTTCAAAATTCACTTTAGGTATATTTTAACAACAACAAATGAAAATGTCCGTCAAACTAAGCTGGCCGCTATTAGAGCTTTCACTGTATTATATTTTAATTAATGCATTCAAATCAACAATAACTTATGCGATTTTTAGCGGCTTCTTTTTAAACCTTTTTCACCACAAGAACTAGCTTTTTTTTGCATTGGCATCACTGGCCATCAGCGACCATTCACCCAGTCAGAAAGCAAATATCAGGCCAAACATCAAACGGTCGTTGGTTCTATATGTTGTTGTTGTTGCGGCTGTGTCTATTGCCTGTTGTTTATATGTACGAATATGACTAATGCCAAATAACCAGAAACGTGCATGCGTAATAAGAATGTGTAACAAATTGCAGTCAAACGCACCTTTCGAGTTCGCAGGGAAACGCAAAAGATGGGATGCCAGTGTTGAGCATCTCCTTATCGCGAAAGCCCTCCGGGAAGCTCTCGATAATAATACCATCGGGTTTAGCGGCAGCTCCACCATTGCGGCTAACGGTGCCACGATCGATGCCGCGCGTGGGCTTCACTTCGCACCAAAACTCAAAGAGTTTCTTTACGTCGCTTCTGCCAAAATGACAACATTTAATATATTATTAGTATATATGAAAGAGATGTTGCCGCTGAAAAATTTCACTGTAGTTGTTGCGCTCTGATCAGCCAAGCGTTACGCCCACTGCATATTTATTTTTTTTTCATTTTTTCCCAGATGGAAATCTCCGACAGCGAACAAAATACTCACTTGATACGTGAACCCATCTGGAGATTTTTTTTTTTTTAGTTTTTAGCACATGTTTCAATCAATTTAATATGTTGGATTTGTTTAAATGTGATTCTATTGGGTTATTTTTATATGTTAACTTTTGATTTGGGATGTAGTGTCACCAGCAGCAGCCCGCATAAACATATACAGGCGGCTGTTCACTCTGACTTTTCCCTTCTCTTCTTGCTCTTTCGCTTTGTCGATTCACGATTTGGTTTCGCGACGTCATTGAATCATATTCATTGTTTTTCACTGGCTATTGCGTTTGCGATTTTTTCAACTATTTAAAGAACACTGCAACTGTGATTCTGGGCGTCTAAATTGGCCCCAATCTCTATTGATACGCTTGGCACACTTATTCTTATGCAAAAAAGGCGAATCAAAAAAACACTTTTAACGACAAAAACACCAACAAAATAAAACGCAGCGACGCAAACGAACCGACCCCGACAGCAGTTGCACTTGTACTCGATGCCGCTGCCCAATACTCGATACACATACAGTCAGCTGTGTTGTTTTTAATATTGCTATGTCTATCGATAATAATGGCATTCACATAGCAACGTAAAAGAATATAGCATAGTTCTGTTATCCAATTGCATAGTTAGCTGTTAAATTCAAATAGCACACTAACTACCTGCCACTGCCTTTGACTAACTGACGGTCAAACAGCCCTTAGTTAAAAACTGTTACTTTGATCAATGAGCTGTGAATTTTGTTAAGTATTATTTAAAAATGCAAGCAAAAAATCAAACGATGTTTTCTAGAAACAAGTTATTGTCCGCTGTTAACAACAGCACAGCGATATTGTAGGTAATGAACGAACCATCTAGTTCATATGAACAACGTCAGTTACTTTTACATGTGCACCATTTGTTATTGTTTACATTTGGAGCTTGTTACAAATAAAACCTGTCCAAAGTCTATATGTAAAAAAAATTTCATAAAATGTCTGTTATCGATTCTGTTATTATGTAATTTTTGTTTGCTTCAATGGTTGTCACAGCATAAACTAAAGTTCCTTTCGAATAAACTAGAAAAACAAGTCGCGTCCGATAGAAAACGGCAATTAAGTCGTCGGTTGCTTTACAACTTGTCAAGGCAAGTTAAATAATATATGTATTTCAAAGATGCGTGCGTCATAATTGGCACTATAATTACCACCGCCCACCTTCACTGTCACCATAAATAGCACAAAGGTTCACATCCCATACCCTTGGCCGTGGCTATTGATTTTGTTGTTGCACGTGATGCCAAGACAAATACTCAATACATATGTAAGTATTGGTTGTGTGTGTGTGTGTGTGTGTGCGTGCGTGTGTGTGCAACGGCCATTTTTGATTTCGAATGCGACCCGCCGCCGGCCAAGTTGCAACCACAAACTATGGCTCATTGTTGTTTTGTAAGCCATTGGAAATTAATCAAATTTACAAATCATATTTTTATTTAAATTGGGTGTGTCACACCTACACAAAAGTATCTAAATTATATTTGAAATTTCGTTATTCTTTTTGTATATTTCTTCAAGGTAAGCGCACAAGCCCTCATTTCATTGGAACCTTATATTATGCAAGGCGGCAATAAACGTGTACAATATACTTTATCTAGTAGTAAACGATATATACCAACGAATTTATAAAGTTGCTAGTTGTTCTGGCTAGTGGTAAAACATTAGTTAAGTTATTTTCGCACCGCTGTGAAATTGTGAAATTATGCTTGGCGCCTTCGTTCAGCTGCCGCTAAAGGCGGCGACGATGACGTCACAAAAACAAAAACTGAATAATGAATTGCTAAGCATTGGCCGATTCGCGCTTATGATTAGTCACAATAGCAGAAGCGCGAGCACAGCATTAACCCAACAGCTGTGTCGCAACCAGCAGCAACAACAACAATCACAACAACAACGAAGACATCTACAACTTAAACAGGAACTGCTGTGAGTGCGAGAGATAAGCCCTATAAAAAACCCAAAAAAAAAATTTATTATCTGCGTTGTCATCTCCAATCTTGGCTTGATAACAAGGCGCGGGCTCGAGTGTCCCAGCGCCCGCCCGTGTGCCAGCAGCTATGTCCCGCTTTATCAATTAAAACCCATACAAAAGCACCTTAATACCTATACAAGAAGCCAAACGGGTATTCGAAGCCGAAGTTTGAATACCCTTACCCCAGATAAGACAGCTTTATGATATGGTGATCCGATCTTATGGTGGAGCTCGTATTTGTAGACTTTGCTTAAGATTTTTTGATAAACTCATTTCTTGACTTATTTCCCACGTCAGATATATGATAAAGTGGTCCGCAGCCGGGCAAAGTCCAAGCTATATCGACACGGCTGTTGACACTGATCATTAAATGGATTCAAAGATGTATACATCATTATCATACCCGTTGCGAGGGTATAACAACGATAAGATACGCCTCATGCTCATAGTATAAGTACATACATACGTATATATCATATCGTATCAGCCTGAGTAGTGCCAGACAAAGACCGTAGTTCCATTCAGCTATTCCGTATATATATACATATGTATGTTTTGCGGCCTATTGTCATAAATTGTAATTTTGTACGGGTTATATCCAATTGCAGTTGCCGTCCCGCTTGGGATCAAAGTAGCAAATCGACTTTGCGCGAAATACACACGGATCCAGCGTCAGTCACCATGTTCTACTCCATGTACGCGTATCTGTCGCACTTGCCGCGCCTGCACGCCCTGGGCATGGCCATATTTGCCTATGTCATCTACTACCTCATTCAGGTGGTGAAGGTGAGTGTTGGCTGCTCTTACGTAATAGCCTCTATTTAACTAAACAATAACAATTGTAATTCTTTTTGTTTAGCGGCCGATCATCGCCTGCGCGGATGGCCCGTTCAAGCAATATCTGATCAAGACGATGCCCACGCTGGAGAACAAGTATTGGCCAACCTTTTGGTGCGTGGAGAGCCGTGCTCAGACGGTACTTGCGAGCCTGCTGCGCTCCAAGAGTCTGCCCCGCGTCAATTATCGCCGGTAAGTGGCAGCTGTTATTCGTATTATTCTTTTTAGCTCCAATTGTTATGGAGCTCCAAAGCATGGCTTTTAGTGACCCCAGAAGTCGAAAGGTCAGGAAACAAAAAGTCAACGCTACAAATTACTTCAAATAATTAGCATAATAATAAGTAAAACTCATCAACTGATTTGCATGCCCTGTACACATTGCGAATGGGTATTATGTACGCAGAGTCACCTTTTAAACTCAATATATATGGATATATATTTTCTCTAACAGGATGAGACTCTATATAAGGACAGCAAATATATTTATTCATAGTTCTTCCTTCTCCAATTTGGATAAAAATTGATTTAAGTTAATTCAGTTTTCTGATTCCTCAGCTTCGACTTTTGGCTTGGCATAAAGATTTCATCACATCGAAAGCTAAATCTTGATTTCTATATACCAAATTTATATATCAAAATTTTCTAAGCTAAATTAAGCCAGTTTTAATTGATTTTAATCTCAAGTTCACAGACCTGAAGCATAGTACAATCCAATTTCCAGCTCCAATTGATTATACTATATAATTTCAATTGGATTAGTGACAAATTTACATATATGTATATGCATGCGTTCATATGATTCAATTGGCGTTATTTGTTTGTCTACTTGCAGCGAAATACTCTGCCTGAAGGATGGCGGCGAGGTGGCTCTGGACTGGATGGAGGAGGGCTGCGATGAGCGTGCTCCGTGTGTGCTTATATTGCCCGGTCTGACGGGCGAATCGCAGGCGGAGTACATTAAGTGTCTGGTCTTTGCGGCCCAGCAGGCGGGCATGCGTGTGGTTGTCTTTAATAATCGAGGCCTTGGCGGCATTGAGCTGAAAACGCCGCGACTCTATTGTGCCGCCAACTGTGAAGATTTGTGCGAGGTGGTTAAGCATGTGCGCCGCACGCTGCCCGCCCACTGCAAACTGGGCGCCACGGGCATATCCATGGGTGGCCTGATACTAGGTATGCACGAAAAAAATATATAACTCTTTGCTGTAGTCTAATTAACTTTTTGGCGCAGGCAACTATTTGGCGAGGAAGGGCGATGAGGCGCGCGATCACCTGTCCGCGGCCAAGATTATATCTGTGCCTTGGGATGTGCACAAGGGCAGCGCGAGCATCGAGAAGCCCGTCATCAACAATCTGCTAGGACGTCATCTGGCCGGCAGCCTGTGCCGCACGCTGCGCAATCATTTGGAGGTCTACAGGGATATATATCAGGATTCCGAAATTGACATACAGCGCATACTGCGTGTAAGTAATCAGAATTTCTTATGCCATGGGCCTTCGACTAATTTAAGTCTTTATCAATTCGCAGTGCAAGACCATCAAGGAGTTCGATGAGCTGTTTACGGCCAAACAGTTTGGCTATGCCCATGTGAATGATTATTATACAGACGCCACGCTGCACAACAAATTGGATCACATCAGCGTGCCGTTGCTTTGCCTGAGCGCAGCGGATGATCCATTTCAGCCACTGGACGCCATACCCATTAAGGCTGCCAATCAGTGTACACATGTGGCAATTGTAATCACCGCACGTGGCGGCCACATTGGTTTCCTCGAGGGCTGGTGGCCATCGACCAAGGATCAGTATATGTGTCGCATATTTACCGAGTATTTTAGCAAGGCTCTCTACGACGAGGATGGTGAATTTGAGCGTGCCTCGGACAAAATGCATGAACGTTTTTTGGCCAAGCAAACCGTGGAGCTGACCTCTCGTCTCAATGCGCCCCGAGGTGTGCTGCTGCTCGAGAAGCCTGCGGCGGAGCAGCTGGAGCCGCACAAGCTAAAACTAATGTAGATGAGTTCTAGCAAAGAACTGGGCGTCAATCTATATCTACTAGACCCTATATACCCAAATATTTATATATATAGAAAAAATACAGCGTGTGTAGACCAATTGCCAGTCATGGACGCCGGCTGGTGGAGACTTGTGATATGAAATTGAACAAAATCCAAAGTGTTATTAACTAAACAATTAATTAAAATATTTGGTTGAACAATTCGACGACAGCTGTTAGGTACTTTACAAATTAATTGTAGAACATGTTATTAGTCACATATCAGATTGGAACAGTGAACCAAAAGCTTTACATAATAATTCATATTTTAGTGAGTACAAAATGCAAATTCGCAATTGAAAAACAACAAAAGAAAAAAATACTATATACAAACCTAAAGAACTATATGACACAGAACAATAATCTTACTCAAATTATATATTTATATATTTTTTTTAATTCCGTATATATTTAAACTAATAAAAAAAGGAATACAACGCTTAACAAGAATATGCGCATGTATTTGGGCTCTTAACCCACAAATCGTATAAAGCGAGCACTTGAAAACAGTTTATAGCTAAAAAACACGTACTTTTAATATATTATATAAAAAAATTATATTTGGATTGGCGCATGTTGGCCTAAATCGGCTTGTACAGCAACGTTGTCACATATTTCTTGCAGTAGCGATGCGTGGCGCTGAGCACCATGACGCCGTCCTTGATGGAGAGCGCGTACAAATGGTTCAACATGACATGATTCGGCTCTGGCAACAATGTGGGCTCGCACTAGAACAAAAATGGAATTGTTTAATTATTATGGCACATAGATATATCAGTCAATCCAACCAAGCCAGGTCATAAACATTACCGATAGCGGCGTATCCTTGTTGAGTATAACCTGCAGCAGATGCGGCGGCAATACGGGCGGTCCGGATACCTTCTCCCAGGGCTTCACCTGTGGCACATCCTGTGAGTACTCCTTTTCCGCATAGTTGGGCACATTCTCGCTGTCCTTGGCCAGCGCTTGGAACACCTCAAAATCTGAAGGTCGCACCGACACCAGATTATTCTTATCGCCCTCATCAGTTTCCACGCTTTTCTACAAGTGAAAACGAGACAAACAATTTAGCAATTAGAACGCTGCGCACATGATTAGATTTTTTTTATTATTATTATTATGATTATTCAGAGCAGAGCAGCGGCAGCAGCAGAGCAGCTCGCGGCGGCAAATCCACAGCCGCTGCGCCGTTTTGTTTACAGTCAGTCCAGAGCTGATTACACAACGCATTAGTGAAAAATCGAGTGCGTCGTCAGCAAGTGTAAACATTGCTCGCGTACCGCGTATCGATTTTACCCCACTGTACGTGGGCACAGACGGGCACACGGGTTTGGCTTACCAGCTTGGGATCGTGCTTCCATTCGCCGTCCACACAGAACTTGTATTGGTGGTCGCCCTCGGGCAGATCGATGATGGTCACAAAGTTGCCGTGACTGCGCACCATCGGTATGGGCTTCCATTTGGAGAAGGTGCCCGATATGGTTACATTTTTGCCACCATAATCCCAGCGCAGGACCGTGGGCAGGGCCGTTTTCATTGGTTCCGAGTCGTCGATGCCCGCTAGCATTGATCCTGTTGCCTGTTCCTGGTCATCATCGTTGTTCTCCTCCATAATGCTCTCTCTGTCAGCTGCTGCTGCGGCTGCTGCTGCGGCTGAATCGTTATCAACAGCTGTTGTGCGCTTAGCTCCCGCTCTCGTGTAATACTCGTCGTCGTCTTCTTGCGACGAACCCTCGTTTAAGACTGCCGTATGTTTTTTATCGAACGAGAAAGCTTGGCCGCTGCCGCTGCCGCCACCGCCGCCCGCTCCAATGCCGACCAGAGCTGCTGCGCCCGCGCCGCCACCCCCGCCAGCCCCCGCTCCAGCTCCCAAGCTGTCACGAAAGTGTGCGGGAGAACTTGGCGTGGAGAGGTCCGTCGACTTGTGGCGCTCACGATGCATATGCACAGACGAGCTGCCCGCGTTGCCCATATTGCAATGTTGTTCACCTCTCTTGCTCTCTAATTTTACTTAATTTTTTTTGGAGGTTACTTAAAGCATTTAAAATTGTTGGACGATGATTGTTTTGGCACTTTGTTTTCCTTGAGGTTTTTTTTTGGTTTTGTTTTACCCGTTGTTTCGCTTCCGCGTTTATCGTTGTATACGTTTTTTTTCAGTACTTGTTCTCGTTTTTGTATATGTTTGGCATTTAATTTTCTTAACTTTTATTATTTAATAGTTTGTTTTCGTCGTAAAATGGCTAATTATAATTACAACTACATGTATGTGTGTGCATCAGTATGCACAATATGTATGTAAGTACGTAGTATATATTCGCAGTTCCAATTGGATTTGATTCATATGGTGAGAACATTAGCAGAGTTGCATGAGCGTAAATCGACTAGGGCGGCAGAGTCAGTGAGAGCACAATTGCTGATTGAGCTGCAAAAATGTGTACACACTTCAGTCATTCGCGAGCAGCTGAGCGAGCAAGACGTGCGGCTCTGCAAGGTGGTTATTTTTTTTTGTGATTGTTAAAAAATACGTGCTTACCTATTAGTTTAATGATTATTAAAATTATTAATGTTGGAACTAGTTCTGCTGAACTGATGTTTTCGTTGCGCATGCAGCCCTGCGCAGATATGCAAGGTTTATGTGTGAAAAAGATTAGAGGACAGCGTACAGCAAATTAATTAGGCACTTTTAATACATAATAATGGCCGAATTGGTGAAAGACTGGCTGTCGGACTATCAACGCGCACGCCGTCAGCCGGCGGACTCCGAGGCATTCGTGGTCGAGCATGAAACAGATCCCGAAATTGCCGAGGCCATCTTCACAATATTCAGCGACAGGCAGCGAAACGAGGATCTGATCCATGACATTTGCCAGCAGCTGCTGGCCTTCTATCGGGCGCCGGAGGTGACGCTGCACAAGTTTCCATTGCAATTCCTGCCAGTGCTGATCTACACATACCTGCACGCAGTCGCGGCCGGCGACAAGAAGGCATCACGCGGCGTCGAAACGCTGCTCATATGCATTTATAATGGCGAGGTGTCCACCGACGATGGCGGCCAGAAGGTGTTCGCGTTTCGCATGCCCATCCTGGCACAGGCCTCCGTTTATCACGAGGTCAAGCAGCTGCCCATGACCGATCTGCGGCGCTGGGAGGAGAACTGCAATCGCGAGGTCAAATGGGGACCACATTTGCGCATCGAATCGATAAATGCCCAGAACAGGATGCGCATCATGGCGGCGCTGCTCTTCTGCTACAATCAGCAGGTCAACCTCACGCAGAAGTCGTCGCTGCTGCATCTGTGCCGTGTTGCCTCACAGCTGGTCAACCAGGGATTTACCACCAAGTCTGGACATGGACATCGCATGAGCTATGGGTAAGTACAAGTTGCCTTCTCCTGCTCCAGTTGTAACTGTCTTACGATTACAGCTCCGATCCAGCGACGGGCGCCACATTTCCCAAGCCCTCGTCGCCGCGCATACCGCTCTCTGCGTCCTTCCTCATCGAGCTGGTGCATGCCATCTACTATGCCATGTTCAATGGCTTTGGCACCGTTGCCATACAGACCCTGGAGGATATACACAATCGTGCCAGCTACGAAATGTTTACGGAACTGATTCTAGTCACAAACGCCGTGCGCAATTCGCTGCATGCGAATCCCTCTGGTCAGCCAAATGATGGGCCCATGGGTCTCAGTATTGCACTGACACCGGCTACAAATACGGTGACGACCTCCGTCTCGAAATCGATGATCACGAATGCTTCATTCCGTACGAAAAAGTTGCCCGATGACATTCCCATACAAGTGCAGGATCTCACACAGCCGCAGGGGACGCAGCATCTGGCCAGCGTAATGGAGGAAACGGAACCGACTGTCAAGGAATCGCCGTCAACCAAGGAGAGCAGCGGCACACGCACTTCCATCATCAGGCCCAGCATGGAGGGCATTAAAGCGCAGGCCCACAAAGCGCTCGGCTTCAAAAAGTCGAAGGACAAGGAGAAGGAGAAGGATAAGGAACCGCCAAAACCACCGCAACGTAAATTTGACAAGCACACGCAGCGCAATTCGCTGCTGCAGCTGCAGACGCCGGACACCGGAATCGACTACGACAAGAGTCCGTTGACCGTCAGCAAGTCGAAGACATACGATGCCGTTGCCGAGCCGCAACCCACCGACATGCTGCCGCTGCAGACGCTCTCGCTGATCAATGAGAATGGCAGCAACAGCTTCAGCATGGATAGCGACATGAACGACGGCATCGCCATCCTGGCCGGACCAGGCAGCGGCGTTGCTGCATCGCTGAACAGCAATACGACTTCCGTGACGAGCAGCGATGCGCTGATCAAAAGCTTTGATTCCAGCATCGAAATGACGGCCATGGGTCACAGCAACAGCAACGGCGGCAAGCTGACCGACCATGGTCTGGATTAGTACGTGCCCAACAACAAACCGATTAGCCAAATTCAAGTATATTTATTACGATTACTCTACCTACATATATATATATATATATACATATATATTCGCACGTTACCTCCTCGGTATTAACTGACGAACAAAAAGCGTTTGTAAGATTTGGAGCCCGGGCTACGTTGGGGCGGTTTTTTGAACGGGAAAATTGAACGCAATTTTGAATAATTGTTGAATAATTAATATTGTCACATTAAGTTGTTCCGTATTGTATTCTAATTGTTGCTAAAAATGTACATTACCAATTATGTAATTATCGTTTAGATTTAAGCGTTTAAAGTCCTTCACCCACTAAACTAACACACTTATAGCCAAGTTAACAGTTGTGCAACCAGAAAATATGCTAAACAAAAGCATTTCATAATGAATTTAGTAGTGCAACTAACTCAAAATCTGTCTAATGTAAAGTTATCTAGACTCTGGTATGATGGGTTAAATATATACATGTTAAGCAATATGAAAACTAAATGATATGAACTGTGGGTTATATAAAAGAGTCCACTTCTGGCCGATTGTTGCTATAGAAGCTTCATGATATAATACTTTATAAAGCTCTCTATAGTCAAGTTTGGTCTGGGTATGCTTCCCTCGCGAGCTATGCGATATAGAGATCCGATCGAAAAGATTCCGACATATTTATGACGAATTTATGCCAAGTTTTTTAACGATAGCTTCAAAACTAAGAGACAGGCGGGCGACCATGACCATATAGACTCGCCCTGATCAGATATCAGATATATATATACTTGTTGCAAATGTCTCTTCCAATGCGTTACACATCTCGCAACGTAGTGAATATACCCGGGATAAGTTGTTGCAGCATAATAAGACACAAACATATATACCACAATATACAAATATTTATTGAACGTTGATATATTGTAATTGATTTAAACTAAATGGAAAATATATATATACATAATTGAAATGGTATCAGCTGGCTGCACGCTTTCGGAATTTGCCCTGCAGAAAGATGCGCGGCACATCGATGCCCTCCTTCAGATTGAGCGTGCGACGATGCACATAGCTGTTGTCGAGCACCTCGAAACCATTTTGGCTGAACAGCTGCTCCAGCTCCAGCTCGGCAAAGTAATAGCTGCGTGTGCCATCCTGTCGCATATATAGATTCTCGGCAATTTTGTGGCCAGGCTTGAAACGCAGCTGCGCCATGTCATAGAGCCCATAATCTCGGAACAGTACCAGGCCACCAGGCTTCAGCAGCTGCCATAAATTCCGTACCACATCGACGAACTTGTCGGGATGTATGGCGGACAGCACGAAGATCATGGTGCACACATCTAAACTCGATGCGGCAATGTGCTCGTGCACCTGTTGCGTCGTTATGTCGCATTGGAAGGCAGTTATGTGCTTGGCATCGTACAGCGGATTGGCGCGGACAAAGTCAACGGCACGCGGTGAAAAGTCGCAGGCATAGAAATAAAATCCTTGGTCACTGGTTTGCTCCTTAATCTGCTCTTCCAGCAGCGGAAATACCAGATTGCCAACCCCACAGCCCACCTCCAGGAGGGTACGTCGTCTCTCTTCCGTGCTTGCGGATTGCTGATCCGCCAGCAGCTCCTGGAACTCACGTGTTGTCCAGTGGCGATCCTTAAAGAAGCGCGTTTCGTTGCGTTTGTAGAATAAATCCCAATGCCGCTGTGCATCGATCTCTAATTTGTTCGCTTTGAATTCAGGCACCAAACGCTTGTTTTGCTCCTCCAGCTTCACTAGCTCGGCAGCAGACAGATCTTTGGTTCGTTTGGTAAAAATATCCGCCTCCATTTGATTCAGTTTTCAACTAAATCTTTCACAACAAACAAAAATAGCGCGTTTCATTCGTCTTCTACGACATGTGCCAATAACATTTTACAAGGTATCGCATTGCACTGGCTGCATGTGACGTCACAGTCTCACATCTCATACATATTTCTGATGTCATAAGATTACTTATCAATTAACTACCTTCACCTTTTTCCATGTTGAAACCAATCGAAATGTCGATTTTTAATCGAAAATACAAAAATGCGACCGTGCTTTTGCTTATATTTACGAATGTGCCTGCATATTTCCGATACGAATGTAACGCCTTTTCAAATGAAACATTAGCTTTTGTATTATAGGTAAACAAATGATTTCTTTATTGCGCCGAGTTCTTTAGATCATTATAAATCAAAAAACTCATTTTACACATATATATTAAAATATATACTATTAAGAAGATAACAAATAACAAAAGTGAAACGAAAATACCAACCCAGGTATTGGCTTTGGATTGCTTTGGTCTTTGATTGTGGTTTGTGGGCGAACCTATCGGCCCATTATGGTTGGCTCATCTGCCATGGCAACTTCATCATTGGGCGCCTTAGCGCCTTTTTTCTTACCCGAATACCAGAGGAACATAATACCGCAAACAATATTTGTTACGAACGTGAACCACGCCAGGTAAACGCCATAGCCATAGCTGTATTTAAGAAATTTTGATTCATTAACAGTTTACCCTTGTTTTTTTTAGTGTTTTACTCACGTCAATTCCGCACCATCCGGATACGCATAGAACAAATGCTCCTTGGTGTAGTCAATGGACGAGAACAATACCTGCAGCACCACAAGAGCTGTGGATGCCGCAACCAGGTGTATGCCGCCGGCCAGACGCTTGAACATGTAGCGCGGATTCATGAACGTGTAGAAGGAGAAGACAGCGCCCAGGCTCATCACGAACAATGTGATGCAGGCAAAGGATGCCTGCGTTCGTATATAATCTGCAATGGCGTGCCACAACACTACCAAATAAAAGCTGAAACAATAGCAAACCAATTGGATGAAACTTACCCATTAGCTCATCATCGAAGCCGGGCTCGTTGCGCAGAGTATTGGAATTGGGGAACATGTCGATGTACTTGCAACGCGCTGATCAGAGAGAAAAGAGAGGTGATATCTATTTATATAAATATCTAGGCGAATTCACACTCACGGTAGGGTATATAGCTGTAGTAGGCGGTCTGCCCGCCCCTCTTCGGGGGCAGAGGCGGCACCAGAATCAAGATGACGCGCTCCTCGTTGAGCACAAAGGCCGGTATGCCGATGTCGCGTATATAGGTGCCCAGCAGACGGACGACCAGCGGATAATCCGTCCAGTTGCTAAATATACACTGTTGCGCCATCTCCGGTATTACATAGTACGACCAGGTGTTGTTATATTTGACGCGCTGCAGCGCCGAGCCGAAGGTGCGACGCCTTATGATGCCGCTCACATCCAACGGATCGATCGGTATGGGCTTGACGGCTGTCGCATTGAATTCATGCTGATTCGCCTCCGTGGACATGACCAGCTTGTGGAAGGCGCTGCGAAACGTTTGGAACTCCTCCTCCTCGCCGCGCGCCCAATGGGCGAACATGCGTCGTCGCGCGGGCTCCGTAAAATTGCCGGAACCGTCCAGCTTCTCCTCGGCAAAACTCCGTATGAAATCCATGTTGGTGAGATTGCGCTTGGCATCGTTGATATACGACTGCGAGGTGTACGACATGGAGCTGAAATTCCGCACCACCTGCGCATTGCTCAGCGCATTCGGAACAATTGTGTTGCGGCAATGACGCCACAGGCCCGAATGCGAGTTCATAAAGAAGCGTCGCGATTCCGGTATAAAGATGCCTATAGAAATGATTTTGGAGCCGGGAATATAAGGAAAACATGTATGTATATTCCACACACCTGCGCCGCCCGATATGATAATCCAATGATCCGTTGCAATGGCCACAATCCAAACGCACAGCGAGACGACCATCAACAGGCTGCAGCCGAGCAGCACACGACGCTGGAACATATACGCCTCCATCAGCGGTCGCCGGGCCTCATCCCGGCCAATCGTCGACGTGGATACGTCGCGCTTCATTTTGCCAAACTAACTGCGTTCCGTTCTCTCTAAACGGGCTCAGCAGCAAGTTGTGCGGCTGCGGTCTCCGGGCGATACCAATGGCAAATCCACACGCACATGGGACAGGGCACGTTCCTGTTTGGGTATGAAATATGGAATAAGTTCAAAAGCGACATGTTGGCATGGCTAATGGTTCAAACAAATTAAGTCACGTTGCGTATACGCAATGTCTGTGTGTGTCTGTCTGTGTGAGCTCTCTTCCATCGTCATAATTATAATTCAGCAGGTGTTTTTTACGGCATTTCATTTAGAATAGTCGTATTTATTTTCATTTCATCTTTTTTTTGTGGATTCTCGCTCGGGGTCTATTTTTGGCCAGCTCAATATTTAAATAATCATATTTTATGCACATTCGTTTGGCATGAGCCATTAATTATGCTGCTATGGAGAATTTATTTATTTACATGTTTATTTTGACGTCGTCGCTTTGGCAACGAAAACGATTCGTAAACCGTCCGTTTTCTCGGATTTCTTTATATTGCTTGACAGAAATTAAGCAAATTAGCAGAGACATTCAGCGCAATAATGTGAATTCCTTTGAAATAATGCTCCAATCTATTTTGCATTTTCTTAAAATTTAAAATTTTATATTCTTTTTTTCCTTTAATATACAAACGTGTGTGTATATCTGGCGAACGTTTCGCCCGAGAATTAGGCGCGCCCACCGCGTGGGTGGATTGTGTCGTGTGCGTGTGAAGGTGCCATAGCAGAGCAGCGGTCCGTCCGACATGTGTACCTGTACCTGTACCTGACGTGCACATAGTCCGGTTTTCCCCCTACTTAGCCTCTATATGTATATATATACATGTCATTTAATTGCTTCGTTACCCATCAAAAGAATCTCGATATAGGAAACTGTTTGTCCTGACAGTTTGGCTGACTGATTGCCGATATATGTATGATGTATTCCGCCCGTGAGCGTGGAATATTCGCGGAAAAATTCGTATGAAATTTTTCTATACCATCCGCTTGGCCTCAAACTCATTTTCAGAGTTGTTTGTGAAATCTCATTTCAGAATTCTTTCACTTTTTTTGACAAATTCACCTATATTAGGTGACGTGCACATAATCTGGTTTTCCCCCTACTTAGCCTCTATATATATATACATGTCATTTAATTGCTTCGTTACCCATCAAGAGAATCTCAATATAGGAAACTGTTTGTCCTGATAGACTCTGGCTGACTGATTGCCGATATATGTATGATGTATTCCGCCCGTAAGCGTGGAAAATTCGTGGAAAAAATTGTATACAAGTTTTGTATACCATCCGTTTGGCCTCAAACTCTTTTTCAGAGTTGTTTGTTAAATCTCATTTCAGAATTCTTTCACACTTTTTGACAAATTCACCTCTATTGGGTGACGTGCACATAGTCCGGTTTTCCCCCTACTTAGCCTCTATATGTATATATATACTTGTCATTTAATTGCTTCGTTACCCATCAAAAGAATCTCAAAATATGAAACTTTTTGTCCTGACAGACATTGGCTGACTGATTGCCGATCAATGTACAGTGCAAGTCGAGATGGAAAGTGAAATTATCACAGATGTATTCCGCCTGTAAGCGTGGAAAATATGTTGAAAAATTCGTATACAATTTTTCTATACTATCCGTTTGGCCTCAAACGTATTTTCAGAGTTGTTTGTGAAATTTCATTTTAGAATTCTTTCACACTTTTTGCCAAATCCACCTCTATTGGGTGAAAAGTGGCGGAAATGTTTTTTTCTTATTTGCAAATCCCTTTATAGGAACTTAATACAATTTTCGAAATTACTGCAAAATCTGCAATTTTTTAAATTCCACTTACAATTGTGGAAAATTGGCGGAAAACGTGAAAACTATTTGTTTACTTCTAACTATTTTGTATATATAATTATTAAGAAATTATTTAAAATATCTCACGCGCAGAAAGCTGGTAAAGTAATATTTTAAATTTGGAAAGAAGAAAAACTTGAACCGGGCAAAGTTGGGTAATGTGCGCTAGTAAAATATATATATGTGGATCATAAACTGATGAAATGCTGCGCCATTTCATACAGATAAAGCCCAGCAAATGTCGTTTTAAGAATTGTGTGGAAAACCCGCAATAATTTGAACTTATTATATTCATCATCGTAAAATGTTGTTTAATGTTTTAAATATTCGTGTTTTATGTTTATGGCTGCTTTCATCTTTTGTTCACATATCCATCCGCGTGGCATGCAACTTCTTCTTGTGTGGCGATCACTTCCGTGTTCTATTTGTAGATGTGGGAGAAATAACTGAGGGAGTTGCATCTGCGTGGCCAGAGAAGTGCGTCATTTGCCACATTTTGAATTGGAGACAAAGAGCTCTCAAACTTATAGAGTTCTTATGCACAGCACCCGCTATAAGTGCTATATACATTTTTTTTGTGTGTGTGTTGGTGTCTTTTGGTTTTCTTATTATTTATTTTTATTCTGCTTTAATTTTGAGCTATTTTTCTTGTTTTTGTTTTAAATTTTGCACGGTACGCATTTGGCGCGCTCGCCATTTGTTTTAAACAAATTTGTCTTGAACATTTCGTATTTTTAGACAGAATGTACAGTTATCAAGCTGTGTCTACTACACAGACACACACACATTCCTTGCGCCTAGGTACGTCTGTGTGCGTGTGTGTGTGTGGGGGGGGGGGGGCATATACATATGTGTGTAGATCCGCACGACAAAATCGCTGAAACCGTAATTTTTCAGCATTTCATTGTCTTTTATTTGATATTTGTTTTTGTTTTGGGGGCCGCGCATATTGACAGTTTTGACATGAGAAATATTTTATATATAAATAAACAGTGCAAAGGTATGCAGCAAACACACAAACACAAGCTGTTTAGCCTAAATCTAAAATATATAAGTATATATGTATATATTATGCAAACAAATGTTGTGTGTTAAATTTTTACTGCTTATTTATATGTTTTTCTCGGGAACTTTGTAATTTATATAGCATTAGTTTATTAGTCTTGCTGCTACATTTATCTTAAGTTAATGTTGAGCATAAATTATGTCAACGCCACGACAAATTTGAATCTCTAACGGAACATAACTGTCAGCTCGTAACTGCCAGTTCGCTGATTTATGATTATATAAGTGCAGCAGCAGCAACAACAAAAAGAAAACAACTGTAAATGTTGCACATTGTTTACCATTAAAACTTTCGAACTTGCACTAGATTTATAGATCGTACGATTTGCTGAATTCCTTTTTTTTTGATTTGTTTGGGTTGAATTGAATTGTTGCTAAAAACCCAAACAAATAACTAAATACTACTAGAGCTAAACGAGGATCGTGTAAAATTATAAAAGCATGAGTGCCAAACGCGCGCAGACAGCGGCACGGCTACGGCTTTTCCACAATATCCAAATCCAAAACTGAATGCACAATGAAAAACCACACGAGATCGCGCTGACTACTCTGCTGCTGCTGCTGCAGAGCACAGGCACAGACTGACTGACTACTGCCAGAGGCAACAACAGCAGCAGCAGCAGAGGCAGCGGCAGAGGCAGAGGCAGAGGCAGAGGCAGCGGCAGCGCCAGTGGTTGCCCTGGTCGCGCGTTAAAACAAAAGGCGAGCGCTTGCTCGAGGCAGCGAAGGAGCTGGCATTGTTGCTTGTTGCCGCCGGCGGCGGCTGATTTGCGAGCGTTCAAATTGGGACCCACAGCATAAACATAATTTGCGGCGTGCGTTCTACATATAAAGAATTTTGATAGACGCCGGGGTTGGCTGTGTGTGTGTGTGTGTGTGTGTGTGGCAGGGGTATATAAATAACAAGGGTGCTCTTAGCGGAAGCACTCGACTAGGCGACACCCTAGACACAGCATCAAGCGGGAGCTACACACAATCCAGCTTCCAAACACTTGACGAGAAATGCATCCGTATCCTTAATTTACTTCGGTGTTTATTGTCCGATTTTTATAAAATTATTAGCTCTTTAATATGGCATAAATAGGATCTATATTTAAGCATTAATTTTTTACAATTTTGAAGCGACATATCCGAAATGTGAAATTTACTTAATCCTTATACACCTTAGGAGAACCTAAACATCGAGTTGGGTGCACTTAAATCTAATAATCTTCGTGACTATGCTTAAAAATCCATGTCTCAAAATTGATTCTTATCGATGTTACATAAATGGGAGTATAAATCAAAAAGTCTATGATTAATGTGTTCTGCATATGGCAACGGAGAATATATATTTCACATTCCGACACGTTCACGGAGATGCTCCTTAATTATTTTCAAAGAGTTCAGGGTATATATACATATAACATATATATTATAAAGAGGTGTTGTCGCGACCAAACAACCAGTGCATGGCCACCTGCAGCAGGCGCTGGCGCTGGCGTTGCTGTCTGGCGGCTGATGGTCCAAGCCCAAGCAGACAAGTGCCAAGCATGAACTCTGGCATTGTCGTGATTCACTGCGTCATCGTTTGCGTATCGTTTTTAATTGCGCCATAAAAAACTGAGCTGGCCAGCGGCAGCAGCAGCAGCAGGCACATTGTGTGGCAATGTGTGTGCGTAATTTTAGAAATTGATGTATTTAGGCATCTCTCTTTTTTTTTTAATGATACAGAGCCATGGGCAGCTATTTATAAAATAAAACTCGTAAATGCTTTGCCAGCCAGTCAGCCAGCCGCATGCCAGTGCACAACGTCGACAACCACCGCTCGCTGTTGCCGCCAACAATTTTGGGCCAAATTGCAATTAAACGTTGACAACGCGTTTATGAATGCTGTTACGATTTGGTTTGTTTGTTTTTTCTCTCTCATTTTTTGGCATATCATTAGCGCATCATTCGGCGGATGACGTCGTGCGGCTTGTACAGCTAACCACTTGTTGGTGCTTCGTTGGCAAATGGACGGCAAATGGATGTGTCTACTGCTGTCGGTCTGTGATGCGTAATGCGCCCATATCCAAATTCAGTTCGCTGAGTAGATCGTTTGGTGCAGCACCCTGCATGGTCAGGCCGGCGATCACCTGTTGCGCATCGGGGCAATTGATGCAGGCATTGCGCACGGCCAGAATGCTCCATTCGCGCATCACTGCGAAAGCCAGAAAGTACAGAGATTAACAAGCTAGTTGCTAACAATTCTTGGATTGTAACTTACATGGATTACGCGCATCCATGACCGTGCACTCGAGCAGCGCAGGCAGCAGTTGCGTGTCCAGGCAGTAGCCACGGTTGGCCTCGTTCTCGTACAGCAAATTGGCCGTGCAGCGCACCAGCAGCGTTTTCAGCTCATATGACACCCGCGCCTCATAGTCCGCATCTATGTCGGAGCTGAGCGCCACTTCCTCCAGCTTTGTCATGGGTTTGTCCACGCTGTCATTGGGCTCTTTGCCAGCCGCAATTACACAGCGCAGCAGGCTGCTGACATTAATAAATAGCGAGTGATCGACTGCATAGATTTTGGCATACTTTTCCGTTCCGCTGGCGCTTGCAATGATGCGGAGCAGCGTGTGCACCTCTCGCGGATGCAGCTCGTGACGTAGTTTTATGGTTTCACGTAGAATGCAATCGGATTTTAGGCGAAACTCTTTGGCAAAGAACTGCAGCAACATGGTGCTGAGCTCGCCATTTGGACTGTTCTCGCGCAGATAGTGTGCCACATAGTCCAAGAAGGCAATGCGCTGCTCCACCAACGCCAGACGCTGATAGCACTGCACACAGGTGCGTCCATCCTGCACTATAAAACGCTCCAGCAAAAAGTGAAGATATTCGAAATTGTAATCCGTTTGCGTCTCAATAATTGCCTGCCAAAGGCGCACACATGTTTCAAACACCAACTGATCGCTGACCAGGCGTGTGCAACGTCCCAAATAAATATTATACATAATCATGAGCAGCACATTGTTGGAGCTGCCCAGTGGAGCTGTACACGCCTGTTCGGCAATTTGTGCGCCGTGTGTCTGCCAAGTCGCTGCCTGTGTCTTTTCATTGTTTACCACGCTGTTGGCCAGCACCTGAAGCGTCAGAATGTGTAATGTTCGCTGCTGTGTCCTCATAATTGGATTAAAGACAACGTCTTGCACAAAACGTGCAAATTCCACATTGTTGGCCAATGTTTCCTGACTGACGCTGCTTTGGGTGAGCAGCAGCCGCAAGCTTTTCAATAGCGTCGTAATTTCAGCCTCATCCCCAACTACATTCAGTTTTGATATTTGCTGCAGAATCTCATCGGTTTGGATGTGCTATAAATGTGTTTACACAAGTTAAATAAAAAAAATCTATAAAATAATTTGTTTACCGGCTCCACATGTTCCATTTTTATAATTGGACCAATAGCAACTGTTAAAAAGTCGATGTAACTATCGATATCACGATAGTCTGTCCTTATCGATAGCTTTTAGCGCTTTTGTAAATGCTTTAAGGTTTGGATTATCACAATTATCGAACAGCACAAAACACGTGAAATGAAAGCACAAGCTAGTGTTTTTTTTCTAAATATATTTTTTGTCTGCATTTTTATATTTAAATACTCTGCGTTATAGTATATCGTTCGTTAGCCCAACATTAGAGACAGCAAACCGAAGCCGGTTAACAGCTGTTAAGTTGCAATTTGATTTAATTTAAGCCTTCTTTGCTGCTTTTTTTTAAACTACAACTGTATGTAAAATATATTACTTTTATGTCAAACAAATGTATACTATTTTCAAATTTTACACAAGACATTTGCTGCTTGCTGTTAATAACATTTAAGCGAAATGTTAACTTAACAGACGTACGAGCAAAACAGCAAATCGCAAAAATAAACAAGAAACAACAGAAAAAGCAAAATTTAAAATAATTATTACTTTAAACCAAGCTTTGAGTTGTTAAATACGGATACAGTGGATACTCCAGTTGCCTGATTAAATCAGCATAGAACCAAGCACAATCCGGCTTTGGTGATACAACCACGTTGAACGATAACGTGGACAACCAGTCCAGCGCGTACTGAAGGGAATCTTGGTAGTTTAAATTCGGAAGAAAAAAAACAAATCAACACTACATTTTTATGTCAACCTGCTTTGCTTTTCGGGAAATACAAAGCAAATATTTTATATATATATATTTTATTTAATGCAAAATTCTTGATTCCCGAAATATTATGCTTGTTAATCGTGCGCTATGTCAAAGTTGGCTAACTCAGGTGACGTAAGTAAGGATGCAGAGAGCCGGCCAGGCTACACCCATTGCTTTTATTCATATCCAAAATACAGTTATAGATTTCACGGAAATGTTGCAAGCCGATTTCAAGCTTGTCGGCACAGTCTGTTCACACAGCGGGCGTGGCAGCCGCCAGTACGTCGCTTTCACGCCCACAGATCCCGATGGAGCAACGTCAGATCGCCTGTGGTTGAGCCCGCGGCAGAGGGTAACACGGTGCCAACGAACAACGTAATCAAGGCAATCGCGTTCACAGGCGCAGTAAGTAGCTCGATCGAAATAGATGCTCTTGTTTGGCAAATGCTCTGAATGCAACTTTTGTTTAGTTCAGCATCGGATGCTTTGCTGGCGCCACGATAATTGAATACGAGAACACACGGAGCATGATCCTTTCGAAGGCCAAGCAGGCGCGTTTCGGTTGGTTACAAAATCGCCTGCTTGTAGATCGTGACACTTGGTGGCAAATCAAGAACGATGCGCGGCGCTTTTGGGATTCGTTGACGCCCGGTGATAAAACCTTTGCGCCCATATTGGTGTGTAATCTGCTGGCATTTGGACTGTGGCGTCTGCCCGCAATGCGTAACATGATGATGACGTACTTCACATCAAATCCTGCAGCGCGTAAGTCCAATCCACAAAATTGACATGCTTAGCTGCCTCTAATTTGCAACCTTACACAGGAATCGTTTGCTGGCCGATGTTCCTCTCGACATTCAGTCACTACTCCGTGATGCACATCTTTGCCAACATGTATGTGCTGCACAGTTTTTCTAATGCTGCCGTCTTGTCCATGGGCAAGGAGCAATTTATGGCCGTCTACCTCAGCGCTGGCGTCTTTTCCAGTTTGATGAGCATTCTCTACAAGGCGGGCACGCGACAACCTGGCATGTCGCTGGGCGCGGTGCGTATTGCACTTAAATTGTTATGCTTCAAAGTATGTTTTAATTGTTGTGCTTTATTTGCAGTCGGGCGCTATTATGACCGTATTGGCCTACGTCTGCGCACAGTATCCCGATACACAGTTAAGCATATTGTTCCTGCCTACCGTTACGTTCTCTGCGGGTGCCGCCATCAAAGTTATAATGGGTATAGACTTTGCCGGCTGCGTAATGGGCTGGAAATTTTTCGATCATGCGGCACATTTGGGTGGGGCGCTGTTTGGCATGTAAGTTGCTCGATTTATGCTCGATTGTCGTTGATCTCATGGTTACATTATTCTGTTACAGATTTTGGGCAAACTATGGTGCGCAAGTGTGGGCGAAACGCATTGGCTTGCTAAATTACTATCACGAGCTGCGCAGAACGAAACAGAAATAAATGCAAATGACTTTTGCGGAATTTTTCAGAAATGCCATTTCTTTTCAAAGCGAAACATGCATTGGAGAAACTTCAGAGATCGTTCAGCCTTAGAGGCTCGTGTTATCTTGTTAGGTTCAATAAAAGAGAGAATTATAAATCATCGTATTTCTATACCGCTTTTTTTTGGCAGGAGGCGGCTGCTCGGCCAGGTTGCGCTGTATGCGATAGGCAATCTCTTTTCGGCGCTGTGCCAGCTTCTCCCTCAGCTCCTGGTATGACTCTCTTTCCGGCGCATAGGAGATGTGTAGTACGCCGCCAAAGAACTGCTTTGCATCCAGTTGTTGTTTGGCCCGACGCGCTTGCTCCAACCGATCAAACTGTACCGCAAATACATCTGTAAAGGCCTCCAATTCCACTGTCAACAGAATAAAGTTTAGTTAAGCTTATCCCTTAAATATTATCTCAATCTGACGCACTTGTTTCTGCCATTTCGGTGGTCACACATGTGCAGGAACGCAGTTTGCCGAAGCACTGCAGCTTATTCTTTATTTCCGTGTGAAGATTGACTCTGGGCACGCCAAAGACCAACATATGCCGGGACTCGCTGGCAACAGTGTACACCTGAAAACTAGCAGAGTTTTAACGGGTCCTAAAGGATTCCTAGATGGTTTTTTACCTTCACAGCTTTTAGTTCGCGGCCCTGTCGATATTGCAATCGCGTCGTACAATATTCTAGGCGCTTATGATGCTCTGTTGGCTTTTGCTCCATTATATTAAAATTTTCATTGCTATCTTTATTTCACTTAAAATTAATTCCTCCAGATTGTAAATACATTTTGAATATTGCAGCTGTGTTGCCAGCTGTAGGGTCGCTTTGTTGCTGTGTTGGAAGGGCCAAAAATTAAGCAATTTCCAACACTCTTTGGCATTCACTTGTTGCGTGCACACAGCTGGTGAAATATATAGATGGCGGGAAAAAAAAACTGTACGCCAGAAATGCGCGCCCTGCATATAAGGTAAATGTGCATAGTTAATTGAATCATTTGCCTGTGAACAACCGAGACGTCTAGAACTAAGCACACCTGCAATTGGCTTATTAAATTTTAACGCGCTTTTATTTCAAGAATTAGTGAAAAATAAAACAAATTTGTAACAACATGGCTCAAGCTCAAATTGCCGGCAAAGAAAACATCACAGACAACATGGAAAAATTCTCTCTAAAGGTACGTGACACGTTTCCAATTACGCACAGTATATATGCAAATACATATATATTTATGGCTCCGTTTGCAGTTACTCAAAAAAATGCAAATTCATTTTCAGCTAATTATAGGTTTCATGTAACTTCTTATATATATATATTATTTTTCTTCGATTTTATAGAGCCCTAGCAAGAAAATTCTGACGGAGAACGCCAACAACGTTCGCAAAATGTCCGTAACAACGGAGGACAATGGCACCAGCAAGGGTGCTCAGACGATAATGGAGAAGAACGCGGCAACATTTGATCCGACGGTGGAACCGCTGCTCCGTGAAAATCCGCGTCGTTTTGTTATCTTTCCCATACAATATCATGACATCTGGCAGATGTACAAAAAGGTATGGCGGATGTGTACATAGACACATAACAAGTACATTTGTGTGTATACACATACATATATGCAGGGGTGAAAAGGGCGGGAAAATGTATCATAAAACGCGGCAAAACTGGTCACGTAGCAAACGTAACTGATTGTAAACAATTAGATTAAGGGGGAAACTATAATATGTAGAGATTGCAGCAATTGTGAAACTCGTTTGGATGTTCTCCGACTTATATGCATTTTTCGCCCATTCTTTTACCCAGGCCGAGGCATCATTCTGGACTGTGGAGGAAGTGGATCTGTCTAAGGATATGACTGACTGGGCACGCCTAACAGACAATGAGCGTCATTTCATTTCGCATGTCCTGGCCTTTTTTGCCGCCTCCGATGGCATTGTTAACGAGAATCTGGTCGAGCGCTTTAGCCAGGAGGTGCAGATTACAGAGGCTCGTTGCTTCTATGGCTTTCAGATAGCCATGGAGAATGTCCACTCGGAGATGTACAGCGTCCTGATTGACACCTATATACGCGATCCGCAACAGCGCGATTATCTATTCAATGCAATTGAAACAATGCCGGCAGTTAAGCGCAAGGCCGACTGGGCGCTCTCTTGGATATCCTCCAAGGCAGCTAACTTCGGGGAGCGCATCATCGCCTTTGCCGCTGTTGAGGGCATCTTCTTTAGCGGCAGCTTTGCATCAATCTTTTGGCTGAAGAAGCGTGGCCTTATGCCCGGCCTCACTTTTTCGAACGAACTGATCTCCCGCGACGAGGGACTACATTGCGATTTTGCCGTCTTGATGTTCCAGCATTTGGTGCAGCGTCCCAGCCGCGAGCGCATCACTGAGATCATCGCGGACGCTGTTAAGATTGAGCAGGAGTTTCTCACTGACGCGCTGCCGGTTAATTTGATCGGCATGAATTGCGCACTTATGTCCGAATATATTGAGTTTGTGGCCGATCGTCTGCTGGTTGAACTCGGGGTCGGCAAACTGTACAACACAAAGAATCCGTTCACATTCATGGAAATGATTTCGTTGGACGGCAAAACCAATTTCTTTGAGAAAAAAGTGGCCGAATATCAGCGAATGGGCGTCACATCAAATCGTTTAGATAATGTGTTTACGCTTGATGCGGATTTCTAGAGTCGCCAACGCTATCCTCACAGCTGCTGGTACCGGGTGTTATTTTTAGCGATTGCAATTACATTAATCCTTAACTATTTCTCTAGATTTTAAGCTCATTTTCTGACGCATAGGCAAATTGTCATTCCCTTTACAAAACTTTATAAACTCATTCAATCATTTTGTCTACTGTACTTCAAATAATCATTGTAGATAACATTTTAAATAAATTTATTATACATAATTATAAAAAAAAATGTTTATATAGACTTACATAGGGTAACCTAGGCATGCGTCATAGCAATTTAAATATATACATATTTATATATATATAGTTACATATAAAGCCGGCATGTGTATATATAAAATAATCGAAATGGCGGAAAAGTATCGTTCCGATAACAGGAAGCACATTTCACTGCAAGTGGAAACGCCCCAATTGGTATCGATATACATAGTCACAAACAGCTGACTCTGGCTTGAAAATGCACAACTACATATGCATGTTACTGCATATCTGCTCGTGTAAATGTTATCTAGACAAGCAATTACGATCAGCTATTGTTTGTGAATGTGCCATTGCTAAGACCGGGCACAAAAACAATTGGTGGTAAAATTGACAACCTGTGATATAATTATAGGCACGCATCGTATTGCTGCCAGCATGTGCGCAAAATATACGGCTTGGATCAGGTGGAAGGCAAATTGACTGACACAGGATCTGGCCTCGCATGTTAAAAGCAATCAACAAGCGCCGCCTTGATAAGCTGATGTGCATATAGCATGGGCTATGTTACACGTGATGCGGTGGAGCTGGAGCAGCAGTGCACCCTGCTCGAAGAACCAACTGGCGGCACGCCGGCTTCCGGCTCCGATGATGAATCACAGCCAAAGCACAAAATGCGTGGCAAGCGAAACATCCATAGACGACAGAGTAAGCGCTATTATCTACCCAGATGCTTGAAGAGATTTGGCTGCTCCATGCGCTACCAACTACTCAGATGCTTCAAGAGATTCGGCTATTTTATGCTGGCCAGCTTCTTTATATTAATGCTGTACACTATCGTGCAGTACCTTTGTATTGACGTGCAAAAAAGACATGGTAAGTGTAAAGTGTATGCCATATAAAACCATTTGTTGATTGCGGCCTTTCGCAGTTTCGCTGACGGATTGGGCGTCCAACGCGTCGCTGGACATCAAGGACTACGTACAGGCACAGCAGGAGACGGCACTCATAATGCCGCGTGACTTTTGTCGCAACAAAACGTTTCTAATCATTGCCGTCTGCACGGGTTTGAATAACTTTGTGGAACGCCAGACGATACGGGAAACGTGGGGCAATACAACGGAATTCAATTATGCCGCCTTTGCCAAGCTGCATGGCCACATGAAGGGTCACTATCTGCCGGCATTGGATACACGCCTGCAGCTCTATGCCGATTACCTAAACGGTGAGGGTGACAGCCTAACGGCCAGGGTGCGGATTGTCTTCATTGTGGGACGCAGCAATTATGAATCCCAACTGGGCAACGAGACGCTCGTACGTTTGCACAACGAAGCCGAAATGTACAACGATATCATACAGGAGAATTTCATTGATTCGTACAATAATCTAACATTGAAGTCCGTTATGGCATTGAAGCACATCAGTAAAAGTTGCTCCAAGACGTGCGCGTTCTTTCTCAAATGCGACGATGACACCTTTGTCAATGTGCCGAATCTGTTGCATTTTCTGCTCGGCGGCACAGTTCCCCTCTATAACGATACACTGGACTATCATGACCGCGGCTCGATGGTGGTCATGTCGCCGCAGAATCGACTGAATGCCACCAGCGGGATCATGCGTGGACATCAGTTCTGCAATGTGGTGCCCGTCAGCGATGTGACTAGCAAATGGTATATGCCCTACTATATGTACAAGGCTGAGGCATATCCCAAGTATCTATCCGGTGCCGGTTATCTAATGTCCATTGATGTTGTCGAGCGTTTGTTTGAGGCCTCGCTGAACACAACGCTAATTTATCTCGAGGACATTTTCATAACTGGTCTCTGCGCGAATCGTGCCAATGTCAAGCGGCAGCATCATGCGCTCTTCAGCTTCGCCCACTCGCCGCATTTGTGCGCCTTCAAGGGCAGCATAACACAGCATCAGGTGAAGGAGGAGAGCATGGCGGACGCGTGGCGTTTTGTTTCCAATTACAGCATACAATGCCCGCCACCGGGACGTTACTTAAACCATTTGCGATTGAGGAATCGCAATAATTGCTAAAGCACAAGTGCTGTGAATATGCCTCCAAAATGTTGGCCTCCTTCCATATCTAGAGTTTACACAATTACATTTACAATATGATTTCGTTGCATTGAATACTCCGACAAACACTTTCGGCTAGCTATGTACAACTTTTTTGTTCCTGAGATTATTTGCTAGTTTACAAATGTGAAATTTGATAGTTTAGTTGAAAATTTGAAAAAAGTCAAAAATAATGTATTAAGGCCGCAATTCTTGCACACCTTTTTTGGGTACTATATAAACTATATGCAATATTATTTAACAAACGCACAGACTTGTTCAAATTGCACATAGTTGTCTGTTAAAGCAAACGCACAAAAAGACCGAAAATATGCTCTAGTTGCATCATTTCAACTCCCCAAATACTCCACTTTATATCATTTGCAAATGTTCGCCAAGCGTTAAGTCGATTTTTGTTTATCCGTATTAAATGTGAATTATTTATCAACAATCTCATTGCGCCAAGTATTTATTTTTTTACAACTCAAAAAAATAAACGATATTATTTAATATCAATATAATCTATGCATTACTTTTATAACTAAGTATGATGATGTTTGTTAATGGGCGTGTTTTGAATTTTCATGTTCCATGGTATATATTATTGACTTGGGCTAGTTGCTTTTCGAAAACAAAAACAAAAAGTTCTCAAATTAAATGCTTAATCCTCTTAAATCTAAGCGGTTGCATACGCTTTTTTTTTTGCGCTCTTTATATGAGTAGTTCTCATATGCAAACATATTACTAAAAACTATAATAACAAATTACATTCGAGCCTACAATTTGAAGCAAAGTTAATTGTAGCATTAAAATGTGTGTTAGGCTATTTTGAGTCCAAACTAGCACAGCAGTTATATGGGAGTGTCCATCTTGTCCAATGGCGGATCAGGCTGTTCGCCGCTGGGGCTTGCTGGTGGGGATGCCTTGCTTGGACTGCTCTGTGCTGTAATCTCCGGCGGCTGCTCAGCTTCGGACGCTGCGGCTGACTTGTGGACCGTTGTTGAATCCTCTGCCTGTGGCGTCGCAGGCGAACTGTTCCTTGTGCTCTCTTCGCATGCAGTTGCCTCCGTCGCATCTGCATCCGTCTCGCGGGTGTCGGCAGCTTTTGCGGCCGTATTGTCTTCATTCGTTTCAGCTGCTGGCGTTGCAGCATCAGTCTCGGCACTGGCTGCAACGCCAGCTTCTTCAATAGCTTCCTCATCCAACGCTGTTTGATCAGCTTCTGTATATTTTAATTGCGGCATACTTTCGTCGGCTTCAGCGGCTTCCGCTTCCTCAGTTGCTCTCGTTTCAGTTTCATCTTCAATTTTTTCGTCATCTGCCTCAGCTATTTCTGTTACTTCCATTGCTGCGTCGCTGGATTTGTTATTTTCCATATTTTCTGCATCTTCTGTAACTTCCATGGCTTCCGCTGATTCTGCTATAGTTTCTTTAATTGGCTCTGTTTCAGTTTTTTCTTCATCCGCAGCTGAGATTTCATTCTCTACGGGATTATCCTCATCTTCGTCTTTCTCACTTTCAGCTTGGCTCTTCGTCTTCGTTTCGGTATTTCCTTCGTCTGTTTGAGATTTAGTTTCGTCTGTTGTGTCCATTTTCTCCAGCAACTCATCTTCAACTTGCTGCTCCTGCTCCTTCTCACTGTCATTCTGCATGGTAATATCACTTTCCTCTTCTTTATTGGCGTCATTTGCTGTCTCCGCTTCATCCTGGCTTCCAGCTTGCTGCAGCTGCTCTTCGGCATTTCCCTGTACTTCAGACTCTGTGGATTTCTTAGCTAGCTTCTTGGCATGTTCCATATCCACCCATTTGCGCGCCACCTCAAAGTCTTCCTCGGCACGCCTCAGCTTGACGACCACCTTCATTTTGAGCTTGGCATCATTGCGCTTTGTTTCCTCCATGCGCTGGCGCTCCAGATGCAGCAGCGCTGGATTCGGTTTGTTGGTCATCTTTTTGCGCGGCTGCTTCTTTTGTATGGTGCCGCCAGGTGAGGTGGCTTGATTCGTTTTTATCTCGCCAACACCCTCGGTAATGTCCACTTCCAGCAGACTGGCCAAAATGGAGGAGCTAAAGGCCGCCACATCAATATCCATGTTTGGGTCCAAGTTGGCGGTAACTGGATCAATTTTAATTATATCCGATGCCGGTGCCGTTGATTTTACAGATGTTATTTTCAGGCCCTTCGGTATGCTGACGTTTGAAACCGAAGGCAGCTCCTCCTCGTTATCGGAATCAATGGTAATCGTATCCGTTTTGGGCTCCACGATCTCTATCTCATTGTCCTCATCGTCGCTGGCTTGTTTTTCTGTAAAGAGTAAAGATTCCATTAATAATGTAAGCATTAAACATTTAAAGTTAGTCACAGTTATTAAAAACGTAATATTTATAGTTTCTACATTTGTTTGAAGGCTTTTAATAAGTTTATTTAGGCTTAGAATGTGCGGAAGTTTGGCATAATTTAACTTACTGCTAGTTTGTAATTGTAAAATCTATCAAATTCGTAACTTATATATTAAGAAACCGCATTTCCTCGAGCGGAAAATTGGTGCGCAACTTTTGCAGAGTTCTCTCATGCGGCCTCGGCTGTCGTTCCAGCTCGCGACAGTAGCACTCGTAGGCAAACTTTGCCATTTGCCAGCGCAATTTGCAGGCGCGGGCGTCACGCCGGAAGCGTGGCAAGCGACGGGCCAGCTCCGCCCACAGACGCTCGCGGGCACCCACATCATTGTAGTCGACATGCCGCGGATTCCAGAGCGTGGGATAGGCGCGAATGGCCAGCACCAGTTGCTGCGCAAATTGCTTATCATCGGGCATATCCTTTAGCTTGCCAGCTGAGTCGTTGGAGGCGCCACCGTTTGTTGCCTGCTGCACGCAATCCTGCAGCGGTTCGAATTCATCGCGTAAATCCTGCTCGTCAATTTTATACAGAAAATACAAATTGGCCAAATATTTGGAGTATTTCAGCTCAAGATTGGCAAATGTGCGCTTGTCCTTGATGGTTTTCAGACGGAAGGACTTGTACATTTCGTACATCTGCTGCCAGCGCTCCACAATGTACTCGCAGCGATAGTCTGCAAAAGAAGAGCATCATTTAACATTTGTTTTCCATTATAAAGAAAGTTTCGAATACTTACTGGGCGCTGATTTCCAAAAGTTGAGCCACAGCGATTTGCGCGTTTGCTCATCGATGCTGTTGAACTCGGGATCGGCGGACTTGCGCCACAGCACCGGATGACTCTTGGCAAAGTTAATGATGCGCATATCAATCGGACGCACCTCGATCGGACGCACTGGCAAACGTGGCGTCGCTCTCGTCCCCTGTTGTCGCACATCGGCAAAGTCCTGTTGCTCCTTATGAATGGTATTCTCAATGGCATCCAGTTGCTTGCGCTCAAAGCCATCGCCGTCGCCTTCACCGCAGTCCACGGGCTGCCATTCACTGCGCGGCAAATCGCGGTTGGCCAAATAATTGGTGGCCTTGTCAAAGTAGCCCTTGAAGCGTTTGCCCTGCTTCAGCAGTCGCTCGATGCGCACATAACGCTTGCGCACATTCTTCCAGCGCAGCTTGATGTCGTCGCCGCGCGGAAAGTGGCTGGCAATGACGCGCCACTGTTTGCGTGTCACCTCCATTTTGCCATAGTCCGGATGGCGTGTACACCAGATGGACGGATATTCGCGCAGCAGGCGCGTCAGCTTGCGATCGTAGGCGTGCGCCTGCTCATTGCGATTCATGCTCTCCTCGGTGCCGAGTGCATCGTACTCATCATCCAAATCGTCAACATCATCGCCATCATCGGCATCATCGTCCCGATCATCATCATACTCATACGGCTCGTCGTTCTCATTGTCCGCCGGCTCATTTGGCTCCTGCTCATCGTCCTCGTCTTTGGGATCGCCTTCGGCGCGCACGCCCAGCGGCATTAGCGGTGGCAGCGGTTCAATGCTTTCGCCATCCTTCAGATTGGCCTGCAAACTCTTGCGATACTCGTAGACCTGATTGTGAAAGCTATTGCACCCCGTATTGAACAGATCCACATCGTCCAGCTGGCCGTAGCACACATAATCGACGGCTGCAATAAAACCAAAAGTGAGAGAAAGAAAGAAAGTTTAGCGAAAAACTGCTGCTGAATTCGATTCCATTGCCTTTTTTGGATATTTTTCACAAACACATGGACCAAGAGCTAAATCAAATCAAATTGCCAAACGCAAGGCTGAATTCAAGTGGAGCCAAGGAAATGGAACTCGCAGAGTTTTTCATAAACACAACAAAAGATACTTACATGCTGGCTGACCATAGCACAACTCATATGGTATTGTTTTTTTTTTTACTTAAATGTTGAGCAACACCCGTCCATGTGTTAAAATATTCACAAAAGACAATGTACACTAACTTAAATGTGGCCTCAACTTGCACAGGCAACCGCAGCCTGTGAAGCGTCAGCAGCAACTATAAATACTCGTAATATCCTATACTGAAGCTTAGGCTATCAAGTTTTATCTTACTTCAGAATAAGCTTAATAAGAGTCTAGTTATTTCTGAAACATGCAAATTGCGTACTCTTATATAAAATACCTATTCAATTGAAACAAGTACGGCTATCTTCTGCTGGCCGAAGATTAAATAGCTCCAAGAAGCTGTAGACATATGCCTTACACACTTTCAGATACATGAGCTGATTTGTGAAGCTCTTATTTGCTGACTTTGGTAAAGATATCTTGAGAAAACTAATTTTTCAACCGATTCTTACCATAGAACTATGTCATATAGTAGACTAATGTAGATAGGATTTGTCAAATTCGGCCAATAGATCTTTAAGGCCAAATAAGAACTTAGCTTTATAACGCTTTGATTTGGCCCGCCAAATATCTTTTGTTATTTCCGATCTTAACACTTCTTAAATATAAATTAAATATTATAATTGAATTGTAAAAAACTTACCGGCAGCCAGTTGACCGTTCTCCAAGCTGTTTGCATCGTTCTTGAAGCCCATTTCGCGCATATCGACCAGGCACTTGTCCTGCAGCTGTTTAAAGCGTCCAATCGCATAGGTCATCAGATAGGATAGATGTATGTAGAGCTCCTTGAGATCCATGTAGCTGCGCGCCTGATTGTACGCATTCGAATGGGTCAACGTTTGCACTTTGCCCGTCAGATGCGTGCATATTTCCATCGCATTGAAGATCTGCTCCTGCAGCTGGGAGCGCGCCATGCCAATGGGACTGTTGGGGAACACATGGCGCACCAGTGTCGGAGCTTTGTGGACTGCTGCGGGCGTCATCATAATGGTTGTGCCGCCATTGCTGTTGACAGGCGTCGATGCCGCCGCCGCTGCCGCGATATTCACCGAATGCATCTGGCCGCCGTTGTTGACGCGCACCACTTGCGGTGCGCGCTGCTGCTGATTGGTTTGTGGATTATAGATGCCCATATTGGAGCCAAAACTGGGGTGGACCATGCGCGGCGATGGCCCTCCCGGTGTCTGTTGGCGTATGATGACCTGCGGATTCATTGAAATGGGGGTGCGCGTCAACGTTGTCGAGGGCTGGCCGCCGGGCGGCAACTGGCGCTTGACCTATGGTGGATTTAAAGGAGTCTATTAATGCTTTATGTTGGAGACGGACGGATATTCCATACCTGTATGAGCCGACCATTGGGCAGACGATAGGAGTCCTGCTGAGCTGCGCTATTGAGATCGACACGAAAACCATTTATGGTATGGAAGACGGGACCCGCAGTGCGTACGGCATTTGGCACCACGGTGCGTCGCACCACAGAAGCTGGACCGGGGGTGGCCTGGCGGTAGCGCATGCCCGAGCTGCTCAACACCAATGGCGGGGGCAAGCTGCTCCGTGGACCAGCTGTGGCGCTGCCATTAGTACTCGGACTGGGTCCACTGTAATTCTGCTGCACAGTCACAATGCGCGGCGTGGTGGGGGTGATGCTGGTCGCTGGACTTATAGTGGGCCGCGGACCCGGCTTTTGTGCTACTGAAATTTGACAATCCGGTTCCAGCATGCTGAGCAAATCGGGCGTGCAGACCACCTCATCGTTGGAGGACTTGGGACGCTTCGCGGGCGGACACTGTGGCTTGGGGGACTTCTTGGCTGAGTGCACAGAGCTGGCATGACTGCGCTTGGAAGCATTTGATTCTAGGCTCTCCATGGAGTCGGACAGACTGTTGGCCTTGGCCTTGGCCAGGCGACAGCATGTGCTGTAGTCCTTGTGCATATGCCTGCGCATTTCCGATTCGGATAGCTGCATCGATTGCAGGCCGCTAGAAGAGTGGGAAATAATGGTAAGGCTTTTGTTGGGTTTTTCTTAGTGCACGGCACTTACTTCTTCTGCGTCTGGATGTAGTTGACAAGCGCCCAGTGCTGGGCGCGCAGCGGCCACAGTATTTTCGACGTGCACTTGAAGCAATTCCAGTTCTCGTTCTGCTCAATGTCCACGATAACGCCGCGCGATAGGTTCTTAATGATGCACGACTTGCAGAACACAAAGGGGCAGGTTGAGCAGCAATATACCTCGCCGCCCTGACCACACCAACGACAATACAGCTCGGAGCCATCTTCCCCCTTGGAGAACTCGCCGCTGTTGTAGAAGTCATGGCATTTGATGCAGTGCGTCACCCGCAATATCGGATGCATCTTAATGTTGCTATCCGCGCTGGCCGCGGTCCCAATATGCATGCGGCAAACGGTGCAGTGGACTTTACGCTGATTGACCACATCGACGGTGGGATACATTTTGAGATAGAAGCGACGCTCCTCCTCCGAAATGCTGGCGTCCATTTCATAGTTGCTACCTAGACAATACACACACACGTACATTAGACAAGCATGTAAAGAAGAGGCGCTTGCTCCGCTTACCCGCAAAATCAAAATCGAAGGCTTTGAGTGAAGGCGACGGCGTCGTTGGCGTTGCGACCGTCAGCACAGTCTCGGCGCTGGGCGTGCTGCTCATTTTGCCGGCTACGATAGTCAAGACTATCCACACGTGGATTTGCAATCAAGAAATATCTTCTTTCTTCACTCTCCTACACACACACACACGCACACATGCACAGACTACCACACTAGACTACTGCAAAATGCTGGCTAACCAGCAGCGGCAGCAACAACGCGTCGCGGTATTTTTTGCAATAATAAATAACACTAATACCAACGCATGCCCTACATATATGTGTACATAAAATGGCGGCAACGCGGTAAATGATCTCTGCGCCGTTTTGCAATTTAATTCAAATGAGAGTTTTTGATATTTTATATTAGCTCCATTTGCTTGGCCGACAATATAAAAATGATTTTTCACGCGACTGCCGTTGTACTATCTCGTTTCCAATATGGCAGCCACTTCGTGTGAGCCGAATGCACTAGCCAAACACGAAGTATACACAACAAGTTTTACCTAGAGTCTGGGCCGATAATGGAATAAAATGTTATACATACACATTTCATGGATGGATATAGTTAAATGGTCGTACGAATTTGATAATATATCATATATACTTTATACTTACTTTAACTCAGAATCGGCTGTAAAGTAACACTCTTAACTACCGATCGCATACAATAATACTATTTTTCTGATTGATCATCATCAAGACAGGCGTTAATTGAATTTAAATGGTTTTAACATTATAAATTATATTAAAATTAGATTTAAGTTGCAAAGATTCTAAAAAAGTTGATTAAAATAGCGCGCAGTTATACGGTTGGCAACTCTATCAACAACGTGTCGTCTTCTTCGCACTTATACAACATTCCTTAAGACACGAGCATAACGGAAAGGTAAATTATCAAAAATAACGATGAATATGTTTTATATATTCTATGATGTAATTTTGTAGAAAAACAGCTACAAACGCATATTCATTTGAATATATTTTTAAAATTTGAATAAAACAATCGTCTATAAAGCACGTTTTACAGCACTGGTGCACAAATGCAACACTGAGTTTCAAATTGCCGGCACTGTTCCAGCTTATTGCAGGCAGAAGTCGTCAGTCAAACATCGCACATTTCTGGAATATTGTGGAGAAGAACTAATTGGATTTACACAAAAAGATCAAAACACTAAATGTGTTTTAATTATGTAAGTGGCATAACTACATAGAGATATTAAGCAACGGATATTCGTCGGTTTACAAATGTATTACGCATGTTTGAATTCAATTGCACGGCGTACTTCAGAAAATTGTATTTCCACTGAATGCGTCTCAAGCCGCGTTCTTCATTACATTTTTAAATTGCGGCGCTGCCAAATCAAAAATGAATATACATCTCATATTTATTATTGTCATTTATATATTCCTTTTCACTACAATTTATTTCTAACGGTATTTCCATACCGTTATGTGAGATTTTTAAGCATGAGATGTAGTAAAACGCAGATGTGGATGCCTCCACTTAAAATACATCGATTTATTTGTGTACGATAATTGATAGAGATTTGGTTCGATTTGTGTGTCATTGTTTTGTTTTACTCTCTTTTTTCCTTTTCCTTTGTTTCCTGTGCCTGTGAAATATGTTTCAAATTGATTTGTAATCTGTCTTTAAACATTATCTACAGTCATTAACAAAATGGAGCCAACAACCTCCAGATCTGCAGTCGAGTCGCTAAACTCCGACTTCTTTTACGGCTGGGATTTACTATACAAAACTGTTGATGGCATAATTGATAAAAAGGCAGATGTTCTGATGGTGCTCGCTCACTTTTTGCTGACAAAGCACTACAAATTCCGCTGCGTTGGCATTGGAGATGACGTGAGTATGTACTGCATATAGCTTGTGCATTAATTCAATACGCTCTCTTGCTCGCAGAAAACTTTGCCCGAAGACGAATCGGGCAGCGAATTGCTGCCGGATCATTGGAATGGCGATAGTAGCAAGTACTCGCTGCGATATGTGCACAATAAAGTGCTCTATTTGCTGCTCGGCCATATTACGGAAGATGCTCTGATTGTCAATCTGTTGGATATTAATACCAAGAATGTCTCCAACATTTGCATCACGCCCGAATCCCTGGTTGCCGAAGTAAAGGGTGGCATTAACAAAACCATGCCAACTGCAACGGATATTGTTGAACGCTTTCGCAAGGAACTCTGTGATCCAGTAAGTGGCAAGCCGCCCCCCAACAAATCAAAGTACATATCCATTTAAATTTATATATGTTTTTATAGGTGTTTACCGGAAACTCACGCGAGGCAACTACACAGACACAGACACCGGCACAGGAAAACCAGCAGACACCGGCGAGCATAGTTGATCCCTTGCGCATTGGTGAGCCTAGACGTCCGGGGTAAGCTACAAAAGGAGCGTTTTCTTATTACGTATCTACTATTTTTTTGCCACTAACATTATGAAATTGTAGTTCGTACATGCCGCACGGCTTTGAGCCGCGGCCATTTGGTTTCCCAGACATTGGTCGTGGGGATTTGGATCCGCTGGGTCGGGGCTCGGGTAATCTATTTGCGTTTCCCGCCAATCCGGGCTTGGCGCGCTTTGATCCGTTTAATCCATTAAATCCGCGTAATCCGGGTACCATGGGTCCTAGCCCAGATCATATGCATCCGCCAAACTGGAATCCCGATTACTATATGTGAAATCCGCACAGAGCCGACATATGGATATGGTCTGCTTATTAAATCAATAGTTTAAAAATGCATTACAAAGTTTTCTTTCAATTTGAGTCTGAAGACCAAAATACAATTAAAAATTGGACAAAAGAAACACACTTCTATATGGTTTTGATTTTAACTAACATATCATTTTTATTGTTGCTCATATACAATACACAGAATACATATTACGATAAGAACAGACAAATCAGCCTAAACATTTATTTGAAAAATGTATTTTGATTTTAACGTAATAGAATGTATGTGACAATACAAAACATAAACTAGTCTTGTGCATTTTGTTCGCTGCGAATCGGTGCAACAAAGTGAAACGCAATTAAATTAACACAAAACAAACGTAACTAAAAACTATACAATGTAATGGCGTGTTATTGCGCAAAGAAGTCAATTTTCCGATATATATATATCTATATATATATGTATATGCGTATATATAAAGTTGCCGGTGCGCTGTCGTAATCTCAATAATAGAACAAAATCAATGATGCGCAGCTATTAAAAGTAGAATATATTATTTTTACATATATGCTGGTATACATTTAAGTCTAGCCTAAGATTATTATTTTCTCTTTTTATCATAATATTTTGCTAAATTAATTACTTAACGAACTTCGGGGAAAAGTTCTTGTTTTTGCTGACTTAAATTATTGCTGCACTTGAATAATTTCCGTTTTAGTTGATAGAAAAGAAAAACAAATCATGTTTTGTGCCTTGGCGCTTGGCATTATATAGTGCGATTGTGTGAAGCATTTGATATTTATATGTATATCGTTTTCTCTGTATCCTTCACCTCATCCTGCTCTCAGTCCCATTCCCCAATAAACATGCGTGGTGTGGGCACATAGCCGCGAGTTGGCAGCGGTAAATGGCGTCCATAGATGTGATTGTAAGGTGATTCGACAAGCTCCGAATCTACAAGAAGCGCAACAAACTGACATTAGCAAATATACACTAATATATATATATATATATATTTAGATAAAGCTCTATAAATAATGGTAAGATGTGTGGTGTATGTACAATGTTAACGGTAAAGGTAAACTGTTTGCCGTCCAGGGTCCAAGTTAAAGTGGAGTTAGTACAAAAAATCTCGTACAGGTTTTAGCTATAGCCGGGTATATAAGGTGCTACCAACAACAAAAAAAAAATAACCATAGGCAATTTCGCATTTATATATATACACAGCGCACATATCCAGATCGAACCCCGAATTAATGCTGCAAAATAACCTCGTTTCGGCAAAATAGTTGCCCATTTTCAATAGTCAAGTATTTGGATTTTCTTCAGACTGAGGCTGCGCGGCTTGCGCGGCTTCAGGTAGCCATAAATGGATTCCATGTCGCTGATGTCAAGGCGGCTGGCAGTGCGCCCCGTTCTTTGTGCATTGTTTATGTTTGTTGTTGCTGCTGCTGTTGCTGTTGCTGTTGTTGTTGTTGTTGTTGTTGCTGCTGCTGTTGGTGGTGGCTGCTTTGATGTTGCTGCTGCTGCTGTTGCTGTGGCTAAGCTCTTTGTTGCTGCTGTGCCTGTTGTTATACTTTTGTTTTTACTATTGAAATTGTTTTTGTCATCATTGTTGTTGCTGCCGTTCGTTAGCTGTCGCTTGTTGTTGTTGTTGTCATGTGGTTTTTTGTCAGCTTTTTGGAAATGTGTCGCCATCGTCGGCTGACGTTTGCCCCGCCAGCTTGGCGCTGGCAGCTTGGGCTTATTGTAATATTGCGCCCGCCTGCCGTAGCCCATGTCCGTGTCCAGCGTGGAGCTGGGCACACGCTCATAAATGTTAACTACCGACGGCGCTTTGGCCACAATGCGCCGGCGTCCGCCGTACATATACAGTGAGCCCTCCTCGTTGGGCTGCTCGAAGAAGCTCTCTGTGGACTGGGATTTTTGGCGTGCCGCAAGCAGCGCCGGCGCCGCCAGCTGACGCAGCTGTGCCCGATCCACATACATGTCCGTCTCCTGCACGTGTCGCAGCGGGCGCTGCAGGTAGCCGCTCGCCGTCGTCTCGTCCATGTCGTCAAAGTCCAGGTCGAAGTCATCGTGGTCGTTGTCCGTGGTCTGTGTGTTTGGCTCGTCTTCCTGCACCTGCTCCAGCACCGAAATGTCGCTCTCGCTGCACCACTTGGCCACTTGGCCTGTGCCATGCCTGTCCAGCAGCCCGCCGCTCAGCCGCTGATGCCGACGCAACTGCTGATGGCTGAGACTGCGCTGCGGCCGCGGTGCCGGCACCTGGCCGCAGAGCGGCGCCAGCGCATAGCAGCTGACACAATTGCAGGCATTCTCGGCCGGCGGCAGCAGAGTGCGCCGCATCGACGGTCGCCGGGCGCCCTGACGCACCGCCACCTCCTCCAGATCGTCGTAGTACTGCCCAGTTGGATAATAGCTCGGCTGATGCTGCCGATGGCAATGGCGATGCTGGTGCCGATGATGCACCTGACCATGTGCTGGGTGTGGGTGCAGGTGCGGGTGCGGGTGCGGGTGCGGGTGCAGGTGCTGCTGCTGTTGTTGTTGTTTATTGTTACGTGCTTTGTGGTGCGGATGCTGGTGGTGCGTTTGGTGTTTGACTGTCGGCGCCAACGCGCTGCTTTGTGTCTTGCTAGTTGCAGTTGTTGCAGTTGTTGTTGTTGCTGTTAGGTCCGTTTTATTATAAATACCTATGCCACTCTCATAGCTGCGCGTCTGCCAGATCTGATGCGGATGATGGCCCGCCGGCTGATGGTGCACGGCATGCGCTGCCGCCGCTGCCGCCGCCGCCGCGGCCATCAACTGTTGCTGCTGCTGTTGCTGTATGTGCTGCGCATGCGGATGCATGCCGGCCAAATGGTTGTGTATCATCGAGGTCTTCTTCTGGCTGAGCGTGCTCATGCCGTTGCCGTTGCCGTTGCCGTTGACGTTCATGTTGCTGATGATGTTGTTGCCGTTGCCGTCGCGCTGATCCTTGGCGCTGGCCTTGGAGGACTTGACAAAGTTGGGCACGCGTGCACGCAAGCCGCAGTAATAAGGATCATCTGTGCGAAGAGTGCGAAATTGTGTTTATTACTGCTTCCATATATGCCAAGCGGATTATTTGTCTTACCATATTTCTTGTTGTCCTTGCCTTTGTCGGACTTGCCGCGCGACAATTTGATTCTGGTCTCCAGATCAATGTCATCATAGTCCGGCTGTTAGGGCAAAATGAGTTAAAATATATATTAATTAAATTTTTTTAAATATTTCAGTATGTATTTTCAGCTTAACTGTAGCAAATGATTAAAATAAATATGCATTAATTGTTGCTAAATTAGTTGTAATATCCAAGTTTTATATAAGAAGCTTAAATGCATTTTTTAAGCTTGTGTAAAAGTTAGCTTGGTATAATAAACATTTTAAGTTATTTACTTAATTTTTTTATCAATAAATATACTTTATTTCTTATGTCTTTTACTTAGTAATATCCAAGTTTTTATTAGAAGATCAAATTTGCAATTTTCTTATCAATATAAAATATATATAAACTAGCTAGAAAAAATATTTGTACTTAATTTCTTATGTCTTCACAGCCTAAAATGTTAATTATAGTTATTAACAAATAACAATTGCTGTGTATCGTTGAATTTGGCACACACACACACAGCAAGGCATTTATTTTAAAATATTTATTCGCAAATGTAAATGCAGAAAAAACCCCGAAAAAAAAAACAAAAGACTTAGGCAACAAACGCGTTGGCTACACTTTGCGCAAGGTGCGCCAGCAAAGGCGCTGCACACGTCGCCACATATACACACACACACACATATATATATATATATATATAACTGTTTGAGTGTATGGGTGCACGAGAGAGAGAGAGAGAGAGACGCTTACAGTTAGCCATAACTGTGCAGACGGTGGCCCATAGCATTAGCCATCGGTCGTTGGGCCCATTGGCAACATTCCGTGCATATTAATTACACGCGATTCGTTTGCAGTTATTTGTTGTTATTGTTATTGTTGTTGTTGTTCGAATATTATTGAATGCAAGCCAAATGCTTGGTGAAGCTCAACGATGCGACGGCCGAAAAGCGAAATCGTCGCCGCAACAAGTGGCCTGGTATTTTTAGCCACCTTGTGTCTGTCTCTGACAGAACTCGACGAGGGCTCAAAACCAGAGCCAGAGTTTGAGCCAGAGCCCGAGCCCGAGCCGTAAACCATTTTGCAAGTGCTCGCGTTGCGCACGTAGCCAAGCATAGCCAGGCCGTCCGTTATGCTGTTATTGCTGGACTAGTTGCCACACTTCTTGCCCATATATATACATATATATATATATATATTTTTTTTTATAATCATTAAAAATGGGTAAAAAGGGTATAATGTATTTGTGCAAATGTACGTAACAGGCAGAAGGAAGCATCTCCGACCCCATAAAGTATATATATGTTCTTGATCAGCATCAACAGCCGAGTCGATCTAGCCATGTCCGTCTGTCTGACCGTCTGTCCGTCCGTGTGTATGAACGGAAGGATCTCGGAACCTATAAGAGCTAGAGACTTGAAATTTTAGCTGTAGGTCCTCCTAGTGCTCGCGCAGATCGAGTTTGTTTCCGATATTCGATATCTTGCCCCGTTTCCGAGTAATCGATAAAAAATAATATGAGCTAGAGTCGCCAAACTTCACATATACCTTCTAGAATAGTATATATATATATATAAAGTATTTTTCGTTTTATACCTATCGCCTGTTGGAAGAAGAGGGTTCAGGGTATCCCGACTAGAACCTCTTGTTAAAATTTTGTTTATAACTTTGTGCCAACACTTGGCTACAAGTGAGTTGAGCAACAATTTGACGCTAATTTGTCTCTCACCTTTGGAATCAGATCGTGCGCATAGACATTATCCCTGGGCGGCAATTTGGGCGGCTTCTCGCTGCGCTTGTGCGCCAATTGTTGCGTCTGCAGCAACAGTTGCTCACGTGTGGCAGCCACATGACCGCTGCTGCTGCTGCCATTATTCAAATGCTTGCCCAGTTGCTGCTGCTGTTGGAGTTGTTGCTGCAGCTGCTGCTGCTGGTGGCCGCTGCCAAAGCCGGAGCTGCCCGAGCTGCCGTTGCTGCCGGTGCCGGCAACGCTGTAGGGATCCTCATCGGGTATGGGTATGCGCGGGCGATTCTTAATGTCCACAATGGGACGTTGCACTGTATGGATAAAGAAGAACAAGAACAGAGAAGCGTATGTCATGGCTGCTGCTGCTAACAATTGTTGCTGCAATAAATCAATAACTGCCAGGCAAATGGGCCCACAATTACGCACACGTACACGAACGCACGCACACTCACACACACATGCACACATAGACACACATTTACACACTCACACACACACTAATGGAACAATAGGCTATTTCTGCTGCAACTGCTGAACTTTAACTAATGCGCAGCCTTGAACTGCATCGACTATGTAGAGCTAGAGCTGGCAGATGGAATCAGAACGTAAGCTCTTCTACGAGTATAGAGAAGATATCGTATGTATATATATATATGAAATCAGACCGTAAGCTACAAGCATAGAGAAGATATCTATGTGTATGCTTGTCTGTAGTTTCTCATAATTTATATGCCCTTGTGAATAGTATTAAGATTTTGCCACTAAATGATTGACGATTCGATAAACTATATATATATATGCCAGACCAGCATCAAGTCATGTTTCAAAGGCTTATCTAAAATTGTTGTTGCAGGTAATAGAAACTATATCCGACCCCATAAAGTATATATATTCTTGATCAGCTGGACGAGCTGCGTCGTTCTAGCCATGTCCGTCTATCTCTATGTCTTTGTGAACTTACAATTTCGTAGACTATAAAAGCGACTAGCTTGAAATATTAATATCAATATTATTATCTCTTTTTTTGCCTATGTCTCCAACTTTCTTAATATCGATTAATAATTATTTTAAGCCAAGGCTTGCTTTTTAACATAACTTAAAAGTTAGAGGAGCTACATATACCCAACTCGCTGCTAACTTCTGGTAAAAATCTTGTCAGATTCGGACTACTTTATCATTCGGTTCAAGGCTGAGCTTTTGTATGAAGACGTTGCTTCTTTCTCTTTCAAAATATCTTAAAAAACTCTAAAGATGCCGCGATATCGTATTCATATCAAATTTCTTGTAATAAGGCATCTATACAACATCAAGTTTCGCTGAAGTTATCAAATACTAACAGCTTATAACAGGGATAAATCTCTAAAACAGTTTACTGATTTCCCTATCAAATTTCTATAAAGTATCAAGTTTCGCTAGAGTTATCAAACACTAACAGCGAACATCAGGGATAAATCTCTAGAGGTACTAAGTTCCCTATTAATCAGTTTATATATAGACAGAGAGAGAGAGAGAGACCCATACACACATTTACTTACACACACAGATACGGACACAGACAGACAGTTGCACTTGTGGATTGACTCACCTGGCGGCAGTTTGCTCTTTAGCATATCCATGGCTACCACATTCACAATGAGCACCCAAATGGGGCACTCCAAAATGTCATTCTCCGATTTGACAAAGGCCACTGCCGATAGGCATTGCGTCTCCAAGCGCCGACGATCTGGATAGGCACGGCGCAATTCACGATTTACGTTCGACTGGAACTTCTTCATGTCGAACAGCTGCAGGCGACAAAAAAAAATAAAAACGAATTAGTAAACAATAAAACAATTTGCATATAGTTGGCAAGCCGAGTGCATTTAACTATATACGATTTTTGTACGATAACTTGCCTTGACTATTTTTTCGCTTTCGAGCGCCTGATTTGGCAGCTTTAAGATTTCGGCACCAATTGAGGTCTCCTCATTTGGATTGCTGGCGGTGCTCTTAACAAATACGTTGCTCTTCGCATAGCGACGCACGAGTATATTGCCAGCATCGTCCATTTTGATCTTGACGCCCTACAGGTGTATCAAAATAAAAAATAAAAAGTGTTTTGTGTGTTGTTTAATTTTAGCTGTATTTTGACACTTGGCCGCGCTTAATGGCCGTTTCATGTAAAGCTCTTTATTGTTATCAGTTTTTATGCAAATAAATTAGGAGCGTAAGCTCTTTAAAAGCAACGACGACGAAAATCTCGGTGTCGCTCATTTTAATGAGCCATAAACTTCAGTTAACCAGCTTACCTGGCCGATGACGCGCTTCATTTCGTCCGTCTTCTGATCTCGCATGGGATTGTCAAAGCCGCACAGCCCAATGCTGCAAAAAAAACAGATTTATATATATATAAATAATTATAGGCACACAACACTTTATTAATTGCAAATCAATCAGCTGCCGCATTAGGCAAAAATAAAAAGGGGGAAAAAAAAAATCAATATAAGCGCAAGCACTTTGTTGTGTGGCACGTTCACTTTTAGTGGAGCATTCGTGTCGAGTGTTGCATGAGTCACACACAGAGCCTGCTGCTGCTGGCAATTTTGTTACATTAAACGTTTTGACAAAACACACACAGCAGCAAAGCAGCAGCCCAACATAACTGTGCATTCGCCTGCCACAAATTCGCATTGACAGTGATTTATGTGCTTGCCACAATGTGTGGCAGCTGCAACAATTTATAATAAACACATTTCATATGGCCTGTTTAATTGCCGTACGCGCGCCACTGACTCATGGCAAGTTTGTTGCCTAAGTCTTTCGTTT